TGAGCAACCAATCATGTCACTTCTTTCAAAGGATACCAGCCATTGCTCACTGAGCATCTAATGTTCAGCTCCTGCACCGACAGCAGAGCAGGTAGTTGTGTTGCCTTCTTTTTTGCAAAGAAACAAAAAGGGATGATGCCTGAAATTGAATTAAAATCCAGTGTCAGCAGAGTAATCAAATATGTAGCTGACAGTAGGGATGAGAGTGTCTTCATCTGAGACTATAGATGTATAGCCAGAGAGATGCAGTGAAAATGAATGTATTGACACAAATTAGGAGTCACTATGATGGAAAGATGAAGCTGTCTCAGAGAAAGTGACAGTGGAAAAAAAATACAATGTGGCACATTAAAAGAACTCTCAGAGATATTTCCCAAGATTAAAAGCACTAATGATAAAACGCTGGAAGAGGATTCAAATTTAGAAAAAGGTGTGACAGGGGCAGGGGATGGAGCTCAGTGGGAGAGTGCTTGCTTAGCATACATGAAGCCCTGGGTTCTATCTCCAGCACTGCAAAAAATAAAACAAAATATAGAAAAGGGTATATCAATTTGCCAAATCATAGAATAGATGATTGTCTATATTTTAAATTATACAGTGAATAAAAGCAAGCACTGTTTAAATTACTCTTTGTAAGTTTTTACAAAAAAGACTCATTTTAATTCTCAAGATTCCTAATATTTTAAATTATTTTGTATTAGATAAACATCCAGTTCACTATACCTTTCCATGTCCCTGTATATGTGTAACTGACAATAAAAGAGTATTTAAATTTTTGAGAAAAATTATTGTAGGTCATAAAACAGCTGTAATTTTTTTCTCATTGATTAGTAAGATCAATCTGCAGTTGTGTCACACATGATCAGTTTTCTAGTCCTGCACTATCATGAAAAGGAGGACTGTTTGTAATTCTTTTTTTAAAAGTATTTTTAGTTGTTAATGGACCTTTATTTTTATTTATTTATTCATATGTGGTGCTGAGAATCAAACTCAGTGCCTCACACATGCTAGGCAAATGATCTACCAATGAGCCACAACACCAGCCCAAATGTTAGTAACTCTTACTCACTCTGAACTCCTCTTTTCTTGTTTTTTTTTTTCCGTCCTAGAATGGGCGAGTGGCCATTTTTGGCAGTGACCATGTCAATCATATTCATCCTTGTACGTGCCTTCAGCATTTAGCATATTTGCCAGATTAGGAAGTTATTAATAACTATTGAATGAATGAATAGACTCATCCTGCCTCTTCAAGTAGTAGACAAAAAGGAGTCATTGATCATTAATGAAAGCTCAAGATAGGAATCAGGTTCTAATCAAAATGAAAACAGTAGAAATAGTACTTGATTGGAGACTATCAAGAAAGTTCAGCTCTTGAACTTCTTATCCCATGTCTATCTACTAGCAAAAGCTAATTCTTCCTGTAGTTGTGAATAATGATGCCACAATGGAACAGAATTTTGGTCCAGACTGTAGAGAGGAAAATGAAAATGAACAAGAATAAAAACAAAACAAATACAAGGGTTTAAAATTAATGTGTATAAGAAAATTGAGATGCAATTCTAAATGTGGCGGAAAGTTCAGCTGAAGTCAGCAGGTTAATTTCATAAGCTACTTGGGATAATTGATTATTTCTTTCAGTGATGCAGAATTTAATTCATTCCATTATTTTGTGAGGCAACACTGTTTTATAGACAGAGATTGTTTTCCATGAATGTCCTATGTGTAGGCTTTGAAATTAGGATGAGACAGGTAGGCCAGAGAGTAACTGGAATAAGCAAACAGTATTCAGTTTAGTGAGAGTAAAGTTGTTAAGAATAAAAAATCAGTTCAAAAGGTAAGATTACTACTCTCTGATTTTTCAAAACTGAGCAGGTATTGTTACAATGGGATATTATATATAAATTTTTTTTCATAGTTTTTAGAATGGAAGAGGATAAAGTATCACTAAAGCCCTCCACAAAACCAAATTGAAATCTGAAGAGGGAAGAAGAGGTTGAAGGAAAGAGATATATATAGAGAGAGGTGTCAAAATTGGCCCCTTTCAAGTAAAGACAAAATTACATTAGAGAAAAACAATTTTAATATTCATATGTATTGGTTCCCATGAAGATTTCTTTTCTTCAGTGATGGGGATGGAGATCAGTAAGAACATAGATTCTTACTCTAATGCTCATGGACATTTGCTTGTTTTTTTTTTTTTTCAATTTCAAAAACCTTTAACATAGGACTGAGGATATAGTTCAGTGGTAGAGTACTTGCCTAGCATGCCCTCTGCCCTGAGCATTGCAAAAAACCCCAAGATTTAAAACCCCCCAAAATGTAAGGAAGAGTAGTTAACAGAATCTCAATGAACAATAAACAGTTTAAGAGAGCAAACTACCTCCATTACCAAATCAAAACTAATGTATACAGGGCTGGGGAAAAGCACTTGCTTAGCATGCAGCATGCACAAGGCCCTGGCCCTGAGTTTGAGTCCCAGCATACCCCCAACAAATCAAAAACAAAAACAAAAAGGGATCCAGGCGTAAGAAATTAGAGCAACATTCTGAGTAGTTCAGAAAATAGCATTCGGATAATTAATACCTGGCATTTAAATACATGAAAGTGGAACATAAACAAATGAAGAGTGTCTTTCTAAGACATATCATATTGAAAGATTAAAATCATAGCAAAAGAAATTGAGTCATTGTAGTGTTGCTGCAGCTGGTGATTTCAATTTTTATTTGTATTCGTTTTTCTGGAAAATAATCTGTGATTAGACTGATTCCTATTGGTCCTAGAATCAGTAGAGTATGTGTTAATTTTAATATAGTAAGAAATTGCTTTAAATGTTGGATTTCACTAGAAGCTGAATGCCATCATGGTGTTCATCTGAACAGTCTCTCTTTCCACATCAGTTATATTCTTTCTGGCCAATTCTTTCCACCCACATGAAGTATGATGGGATGAAATGAGACTCAGGCAGAAAGGCAAATGTGGTCAGATCAACTCTTGAGTCCAAAGTTAAACTCATAAATAGATAAGATAATAATATCAACACTAATATATGTAAAGAACAGCATTGAAAAAGAATGCCCCAAGTTGTAGACAATGACTTTCTCTGGTGGTTTGGTTATAGGGGACTTTCACTTCCTCTATCATTTATTTCTGTACTCTTTATTGAATAATATTAAGGAATTCTTAACTTTTCAAATGTGAAAATGATATTATATTTGTACAAAAGTTTTTATCTATAGGAGATTCTTACTGAAATGTTCATGGATTAAAAATGCTATGATGTCTGAACTTTGCTCCTAAATCATATAGTACGGAAAGAGGTGAGTAGAATAGAGAAGTAAGACTGGACAGCTGTTGGTGTCTGATGAATCCATATTGATTCCTTGAATGATAATGTCTACTTTGTATATGTTTGAAAGTTTTATGATGAGAGATTAATAAAAATGGTAGGTGACACACTTGAAAATAGGCTGGGGATTAAATGCAAAGAACTCCAGTGCAAGGAAGTTTTGTTCTCCTGTTAAGTGTTCTCCAAACCTTAGTGAATGTGATCCTACCTGTGACAATATTTTTGCATGCATGCACCAGGCATATGCTTAGTTATTTATTCATTCATTTATTTATTTAAAATTTTGTACATGTACCACTGTACTATTATGCCATTATAAAACATACATAAACATAAAAAAGCTAGATAAAAATAAACACAAGTATTCGTTCTAATATGTTCTTTCTATACTCTAGTGGACCTGGACCCCAGTTAGGAGCCCCATGCTCAATGAAGGAGTGGGGGGCCCTTGAGGTTTTCCAAGTCGTAAAGAATTTGTTTATAAGAAACAGAAACTTACTGGAGCAGCCATAGGTAATGGGAGATTGATTAGAAAGACCCAGAGCTATTTCCCTGAGGCTTCTCAAAGAACTGTAATTGACTAGGAAGTTGTTCTAACTACAAATGCGATTTGAACAAGGGTCATCATTTCCTTGTACACTTCTTTTATATATATTCAATTCACATAATGTGTTCTGCACACAGGATACAATATGCATATAAAACAAACATTCCCCCACATATTATCTTGGGCAATATATTTAACACAATAATTATGCTGATTATAATATCTAACATTGAGTACTTATTCTCTGCCAGATATTGTGGTAAGAACTTTATACACATAATTTTACTTAAAACTGTGACAACCCTATGGAAATAGATCTTATTATTGATTTCCATATTACTAAGAGGAAATTGAGACTTAGAAAAAAATAGCTTTCCAAAGATGAAAGGGCTAGAAAATGGCAGAACGAAAATTTAAATAAAGATGTTTTTGATCTCAAAACCCATATGCTTAACTACTAAAACCAGAAAGAATTAATGATAGTGTCCAAACCATAAGATTGTTCTGAAGATTAAATGAGATAATATATATGATAATGTATAGCACATTGTCTGACATAGAACACACATCCTATTAATGTTAGTATTTTAGTACACAGAATATTTACTAGGATTTTCCACAGTAAACACCACTAATATCTCTCAATATCAAAACACCAATATTTATAATTATAATGAAATAATGTTTTATTATTGAATTAAACATTATTTATAATAACACAGGCCTAAATTCCTTTCATTTGCCTCCATCTATAAACATGTGGTGTGGCTTTTGTTGTTGAGTCTCTGTGGAATGGCTCAGTAGAGAGAGATAGCAATCATGGATTGTGTTATGACTCCTCCCCAGTAGGCTACAAAATGGAAATATTTGTACTGGGTATTCTGTCATATTCCAAGGAGCCACTTACATAAATAAGAGTGTGTATAGTTTGAACACTGAGAGACCCAGGAAATACATATGTACAAAATCAATTTTAATTTATGAATTGCAGAGTTTGTATCCATTTGTTTTGACCTACAGATATATTTTTAGAGAGATGATAGTTCTGCAAACATCTTTGAATTCCATTGGTTTCACCTGAAATGGTCAAATATATCACTTCTGCAGTTTTTTTTTTTTTTGCTTTCAGATTTCTTATTTCTATCAGCCAATCCAGATTAAATACTTTTTTTTTTCTTTTTTTGGTGCTGGGGATTGAACCCAGGGCCTTGTGCATGTTAGACAAATACCAGATAAGTATGTACTTAATAAATACTATTTATTTAATCATGGCTTCTACTATTAGAGTAGCCATCTCTCCTGGGTTTTCTGGAGCATTCCAGATTTGAAATTCTGTCCTGGTATTAGGCTGATTGGCAATCTTGACCCCTGTAGAGGAGGTGCTGTGCACAGTCTTGCTGAGAGCTGAAATGTGTCTCACTCACAGGCGCTACTGTGTGGTCTGGTTTACATTACTGAGTCTGTGCTTACTTTTCATGACCATTTTTTTTTGTAATTTTGCAAATACTTTACCAAATGACCTGTGACTCTAAATAAAATTTTGAGCTTCATGGATGAATCAGGGTGAGGGGAAGATAGTCTTTGGTTTATGTATTTTGACATTTAGTCAAAGCAGAACTTGTTATTCACTACAGTATTCAATTTTGGCATTATTGATTCCATTCATTTTGTGCAATTAGATAATCCATAATTCTACCTAGGAACATGCCCATCATTTTCTCTGTCCTTCTATATGGGATTTTTTTTTTAAATTCTAGAAGCACTGTGAAGAGCATTTGTGTTGACACAGCAGTATCCACCCCCCCCATCTGCAGCCCAAATAGCATAAACCAAAATTAAATATGTGGGATTGTTGGAAGAAAGCATCCAATAACCAAACACTATGAGCAAAAAATTAATTTATTATATATATTCTATAGTAATTTATAATAGCTTCTCGAATTTTAAATGTCTTTTCGCTATTTCCAATGCTTAAAAATCATAATTTTAAAACATAAGTACTGTTTATATACATTGTGATTTCTTTTCTATTTTTGCTTTTGGTTTTTACTTCTAAATATGAATGATATGGTCTCCAAGTATCTGCTTGGAAAGAGAGGGGATAGGATTCTTGTTTTGTTCTAACATGGTAGAATTTAAAATTTCACATCATATACCTGGAGTTTTGGCTATATGAAAAATAGCCAAATGTCATCACTTTCTCGTATATTTCTTTTACATGTGTATATATATATGTATAATATAAACAGAATACATTTGATAAGGACGTTTCAACATTTCATCAATGTAACTTTTATCTCCTATTTTATATAAAATAACAAAATATACAGAGAGAAGAAAGGAGACATCTGTTCATCGTACACATAAAGTAAATAAAAGTTCATGTATGGCTTTGCAAAGGTAGATTATGACGTGACTTTCATATTTATTTATTTATTTATTTATTTATTTAAAAGCATCTTGAGAGAACGTGTTAGTGTGCTTACTAGAGCGGCCATGGTGGTTGAATGTCGTGTTGAGAGTCCAATATTAGGATCCCCAGTGGTCTTTCCAGTGGCTGCCTCTGCAGCTTTCAGGAGACATATGTAGTTTATGACCACTTCATCGATCTTTGCTACAATTTCCTGCCGCTGTGTTTCTGAGTTCACGACTTTAACTAATCGCATGCAAGCTTCTGTTAGGCAACAGAGCACTTGAAAGCTGGAAGTCATAGCTAGAAGCATCTCCTCTGGACTTTTCTCGGCCATCGCCATTTTCCTACAGGCACTTCCCAACTGTCTGGACTCGATGGATAACAGTTGCTTGTACTGAGAAAGTGTAAGGTCATATGTTTCAGGGCGTGACTCCTCTCTCTTCCCCTTAGTTGCCCTGACAAGGCAAAGCAGCTCATTGGCATCATTTTGGGCTGCAAGGAACCCATCAGGCATTGTGTATGTGCTCTCCTTTAGTGCACTTATTCTTGCAATCCGGGCATCAAAAGCCAGATTGCTGAAGTCCAAGTCATCTGGGCCATTCAGGTCTTCTGACCAGACTTTCAGCACTGACCCTCTGGTTAGCTCCCCTCCTTTCTTCCAAATCCCAACAGCCAGGGATGGACTGGTTGGTTCTGGCATGGCGTGAGTCATCTGGGGTGGATAGAGGCAAGAGACCCGAAGGGTGGCCTCTCCCTCCTCTTCTTCTTCATCACCATCTTCATCCTGCCCTCGGTTAAGGAAACAGTAGCTGAAAGGTCCTCGGCACCTCCAACTGCTGCCCTCTATCTTCCGCAAGGGTAATGTCCTATACTGCTTTGAGTCTTTGTGAACCACTGGGGACCTTTTGTGACACTTCCCCTCAGGGCTAAAGTGCATTGAGCTTTGGGAAAAACTCTTGGTGAGCTTCTTCCCCAGAGGGAGTTCTGCTCGCCTTTCTGAACCGGCCTCCTGTGCTTCTGTGATACCTGGATACTTCAAGCTGACTGCACCCTTGGTTCTCTCTCGGAAGGTCTCCAATGCTATGGATCCTGAGAGGATACTGCTGCTATGCCTGAGAGCCCTCTGGCTGGGGGGTGTCCTGAGGCTCCCCCCTCTCAGATCCGGTGGCCGCCAGCTCACAGACTCTCCGTATGCCTGATTTGCTTGGGAGAAATCATTAGGATCTTGATTTGGAATTGGCACCTTTGATTCCGAGTGAATGTTTGATGGTAGCAGGATGGGATCAACTTCAGGATGTTGAGACCAAGCTGAAGGCATGCCTCCTTGTCTCTCCTTCCCAGGCTCTGTCAAAGCTACACTAGGGGTAGTAGAAAAACAGAGAGATTCATTAAGCATCTCCTGGGTAGCCATTTTCCCAACATCTCTACATGATGTCTGTCATTTCCCAAGGATGCATTATAGAAGACCTGCCATATGTTAGGGCCATCCTGTTTTCCAAAGACTGACTCCTGATAACTCATAACTGATTTCCATTTCAATGAAGAGCAAAAAATACTTGGAATCTGTTATTTCTGGAACTACTAGTTCATTGGAAATTATCTAACAATCACAAACATTTTCCAGGAGAGAATGGTATTTCATGAACTCCCTTGCTTCCAATAATTACCTATTGAAGTTTAGAAACATACTTAGAAAATATACATTTTGTTTCTAGATTATTGAAACACAAAATATTTACGTTTCATTTCAAGGGAGTTGGGTTTTTCTGGAATTGCATCAGTTACCTTTTTAAAAATAATTCATTAATGCAAATTAATTCATCTAACCTTTCTAAGAGGACAGAATGAGGTATGAGGTTTGCCTGGTATGGGGTCTAAAGTCAAGACAGTGGGAAAGTTGTTCAGGTTTTCTTAAGAAAAGCTCTCATGTGAAGAAGAGCAAGAGGTAACTTAGTTAAAAACTCCCCATAAACCATGAAGGATTAAAGAGTGTGTTTCAATTAATTTAGAGGTAAAGATATGGTTGGGTAACTGGGCATAGTGGTGCGTGTCTGTAATCCCAGCAGCTCTGGAGGCTGAGGGGGGGTCTCAAGTTCAAGGCCAGCCTCAGCAATTTAGTGAGGCCCTAAGCAACTTAGTGAGAACTTGCCTAAAAATTAAAAGGCAGGGGAATGGAGACCTGGCTCTATATTTAAGGACCCTTGTACCCAGTACCAAAAAAAAAATGCAGTTGTGTGATGAGAATTAGGTATCATTTACAGGTTAGTTTACACAGGTAAGCATGGCCAATGGTAGATTTTGTAAAAATAGTAAAGTTGGGGCTGGGGATGTGGCTCAAGCGGTAGCGCGCTCGCCTAGCATGCGTGCGGCCCGGGTTCGATCCTCAGCAGCACCACATACCAACAAAGATGTTGTGTCCGCCGAGAACTAAGAAAAAATAAATAAATGTTAAAATTCTCTCTCTCTCTCTGTCCCCCCCTCTCTCTCTCACTCTCTCTTTAAAAAAAAATAGTAAAGTTGTAAGATTTAAAAAGGTGTTTTTAAGAACAGGAATATAAACTAACCCATATATCTATTGACCAATATGGAAAAGACACTACTGATATAACTTGAAACAAGAAAGTATAAAGGAGCATCTGCTTTTGCTATCTGATGGCCAGCCATGTGTATTGATGAGAGGCATATGTGTTCACTATGTGGAAAGTAGAACAGTGAAGGTAGGTACAGAATGTGGCTAGATTCTTGGTTCTACCTGTGTCTAGATTTTATTATTTGGGGGAAAATAAAGCAACTAATCATGCATACCCCCCAAATCTTCCTAACTGTGGTATACCGGATACTTCAGAATATTCCTTTAGGGGAGTTTTCCAGAGAAGGAAAGAATCTGTAAATTTCCTGGAAGGCAAATGATCTCTCAGAACCCCTCCAGTCTCTGTAATATTCTCCTCTGTTATCCTTCTTTGTCTCTCAGTAACAAAATGGGAAAACTGGAAATGAGATATCTTGAGAAGGAAATCAAATTGTTGTATGACTCAAATCAATACTATCTTGTAACCAAAAGTTATACTGGGCCCTGCTAAAAGTCTGCATTTAGAATTTAGAAAACAAATAGTGCTCCATCAAATTCTTAAAGGAAGAGCAAAACAAATTATAAAGAGCAAATTCCATTTTCACTCTTATTCCAGACCTAGAAACTTAACAATTTATTCACTACCAGGGGGATCAAGGATTGCTATTTAACATTTCTATGGCCATTTTTGGCTATCTTTGACCTTTCAGATGTTGTATTTTTAGGTTTGTTATAAATATGGTTTACATGGTCCTGGTGTGTATTGCAAAGCACTAAATCCATCATTGCTGTACCTGTGGTTTCCTTAATTTTGGGGAGCCGATGGCATCCATCTCTCAAAGTGCCAAACAAGGGATCGGCATTAATGGCTGTGTGCAGAGCAGGCACTGTCATCCGCGGACACATCCCTTCTGCCTGTGGGTGCAGTTCCTTAAAGTTGGCTCCATGGTTGGGAAGGCCAGTGGCTCTCTCCTCTGAAGGAATATAACTCACGCCTTTCCCAGAAGCATCTGGAATCAAGTGCTTTCCCATGGAGGGGCAGAGGGGCGACTCCACAGGAGTGGCACAGGCACTGCCGCTGCTGCCTGGACCACAGCCTGTGTCCACTGAAGAGCCTTGAGAGCTCTGTAGAGAAAAATGGCCCTCACTCTGCAGGGATGACATCCGCTTGGCCAAGTGGTAATCACAAAGGCGGGCCACACCCTCTTCCGCCTCTGGAAGCTTGGAGGAATGGTCACAGGTGGGTGAGTCAGCATCCTCTGGGTTATCTAAGTCTTTGGCTGAAGACACACAGGCCACATCTGTTAAGAAGCGGTCCCCTTGACCAAGTCCTGAAACATCATTCACTTCTCCATCAAGAGCCCCTTCCTCTTTCCCTTCGGCCTCCCTTGCCCCAAGACCAGAAGCTCTGGGAAAGGCTTGCCCAGCTGCTGCTTCCAGTCCACCTTTCTCTGTGACCCCACCTTCAGTAGCCACATACCATCTTTGGCTGTCCTTGCGAAAGGCAGTTCTCTCTAGATTAAAAGTGCTGAGGTGTTGACTGTCCCTCGAAGACACAGTACCAAATTTCCCTTTGGCGTCCTCTTCCATCTCTGTCATTTTGGTTCCCTGCTGTTTTTTTCCTGGCATGTTTCCACTTGTGGGGACTTTCCCCTCCCCCTCAGCCAGCTTGCTTTTCCTTTTGCTGGTGCATGAATATACCACCGACCCCATGTGCAGTTTACTAAAATAGTCAGTGACCGACTTGGTCTCCATGGTTTCAGGCTCCATCTCCATGTGGTCCGAGTGAAGTATCTGCTTGGAAGGCACAACTTTGGACGGAAGGTCGGTCACTGGGCGAGCAGCCAGGCTGTGGGAGGACTTTGGAGGCAAGGCCCCTGCAGGAGCTTTGGAGGTGGGAAACTCTGTCTGCTCTTCTGCGAGGGGGTGGTAGCCTTCATGAGTGGCCAAGAACATGCGGGAGAGGCTCTCTGACTGCTTTTGTGCTGCGGCCAGTTCAGAACTCTCAGTCATTTCAGAAGAATTAGTTTCATTGCCTGAGTCTGACGAAGACTCAGGACTATAAGCCCGCAAGATGGCTACACCTGCATGCCGTAAAAAACAAGAAGCAATTAATGGATGTTATCAGAGGCACTTGGAGACATGTAAGAAAATGGGACTCATTATTCTTTAAAAAACAAAAACAAAAACAAAAACAAGTTTTTCCCTTTTCAGTAAGGACTCTGAATTTATTGCACAGTTGTTCCAGAAATGGGGGTGGGGGACGTGCCATATGATTTAAAAATAACAAAGAAAGCACATACACACACACAAAAAAACCCATGATGGTAGTTCAGCATATTTATGAAATAGGACAATGCGTGAAATGGAGAATACCACGTAACAGGACTCCAAAGACAAATGGCTCGAAAGGATGGAATGACACAGTTATCAGTGAATAAATGTAACAATCGTGAAAGAACCTGAATTGTCACTGGTCTGCTGTTCTTCTGAAACAGATAGAGCTTCTAGAGCTTCCAGCGTGGAAACGACAGCATTATCCAATCCCTTCTCACACTTTCCCTCAGCACTAGTGGGCACAGCATCGATGAGGGACACGGGGATCTCATCGTTTTGCAGGCTGCTGCTTTGCTCCTTGTCTTCACGGAAGGACGTTGCCTGGCTCTGAGTGTCCTCCTCATCAGAACTGTCTCTAAAGCCAGGTGGGGGTGCAGCAATGGCCATGTTCAAGGAACGTAACAGGAAGTCATCCTCATTGTCATCACCTTCCGGAGGAGGCAGGGACGTGAGGTCAATGATGTCATCACTTGACCCAGACATGTTGAGGATGGCTGGCTGGTTCATCTCGCCCACCACAAGGTCCTCCTCACAGCTTACCTCATCCTCGTCCTCTGCATCATCAGTGTTTTCTGCATAACAGATGTCATGCAAGAGGGGCTCCTCTATCCCCTCAGGGGCCTCAAAATTTTTCACATCACCTATGTTTGCATAAACAGAATTTGCCACAAACTGGATGCTCTCTGTGTCTGGAGCGAGATCCAGGTTCTTCATGTCATTGGCACTGCTGATGTAGAGATTCTTCTGCTTCTCCAGCATTTCTGGACTCTCATCTAACAGTCTCTCATAGCCAAGAGTTGGGGGACTCATACCATCATCCAAGGCAAGATCTCCAAAAATAAAGGACACTTTAGCTCCTCTCGGAGATTCCTGTGCTTTCTTTAAAGTTTCTGGTCCTGAGAGGGACATCAGGGACCTCTGGGCTAGACTTCTGTAGTCTGCCTCACAGGGAGCATCACCAGGCTGGGTCAACTGCTGGTTAAGTTCATCTGGATTATAGGTGTTGTCTATATACAAGTGCCGGTGGTCCTTTGGACACATGGTGCTGTCTGTAATCTCAACTGTCTTCTGTTTTGAGTCTATATATGTTATCTGAGCTTCTTGTTCCCCTTCGCCAATGAAGGTGGTCATTTGAGGCATACAGTTCCAATCTGGGCCAAGGAGGTTAGGCTTTCCTTTATTTTCAGCTCCTAAAGAGAAAGAATCATGCAAAGACACATTACTGTGATATTTTTTTTGGTGGGAGGGCTTTATCTGTGTTTCTTAATTTAATGGCTTATAGCATCACTGTATAAATACAATTATTTTACTTTCCAAATAACAGTACTGCCCAATGTAAGTTCCAGGTGCAAGGATTCCTTGTTTAGGAGAATCACCATTAACAAAACTGATATACACACACACACACACACACACACACACACATACATACACACACATATCAGTTATATATCTATATCTTTATAATTGCTATATTATTATTAGAAGACCTTATTTACATATATGAATATAAATATACAACGTGTCTTTTACAAAGCTGATAGGTGATATTTCAATAGGCTATTATTCTAGAAAATAAATTGTTCTTTTCTCTGTAAAGTGAGATCTAACAGTCTTCACTTTGTGGTGGAAGATATTGGACTTTTTTCTCATTGAGTTAATAGAAGGTCAAGGATCTTCATACTTCCATCACACTTCCTAGAAAGTTAAAATAAATATTGTACCTCTACCTTCAGCCTATTTATATCCTACTGAATGTAATATATTCATGTACAAATATCAGCATGAATCGCTATATGTATGTGTGTATATAAAGAGTACATAATGTTTAAGGTGGAGCATTCATTCACAAGTAATGTACGTCTCTCTGCCATTTCTAAGTGTAGTTAATATTTAGAATGACTTTAATTTTTGTTCTTATCATAGGACCCATGAAGATTTGTTTGATGTTCATCATGAATTAAAATTGTATTACCCTAATTAAATATAATTGTTGTTGGGCTGGGGACGTGGCTCAAGTAGTAGCGCGCTTGCCTGCATGCGTGCGGCTCGGGTTCGATCCTCAGCACCACATACAAAGATGTTGTGTCCGCCAAGAACTAAAAAATAAATAGTGAAAATTCTCTCTCTTTAAAAAAATATTATTGTTTTGTTTGCTCTTCAAGGATCTTTAACTATGGAATTTTTAAGTGAAGAATAGCTCTGATATTTAATAAGATGGGGAATTTGGGTCATTCTGTGACTATTGCTTTGTAGATTCTAGAAGCAACCTTTTGACCAAAATTTAGGACCCTTCCATTTTTCCATCTGTTCCCTCAAATTGCCACTTGGCTCAGTTTGGGTGACACTGTCATCATACGTATAAGACATACAGAAAATAAAATTGGTTTTACTAAAGGAGTTTTTGCTCCCCCCAAATTATACAATAGACTTCATGCTGAACACTGTTCAGAGTCATTTTACTAAATGTATATATTCATAAATAGCAAGTAAAAGATATAATTTTGAAGACATTTAATTATATACTAGCCACAATTACATCTTACCTTATAATCAATATACTGCATGGGAGTTCAACATAATTTATCAACTATGAAAATTTAGGTTATGATGGGTTATATGGGTGTATACAGGTGTGCATATGTGTTTGTGGGGGTGGGATGTTGAGGAATACTTGTAACAGCTAAGTTTAGACCAGGTATTGGTAATATTTTCCATAAATGGAGGGCTAGAGAGTAAATATTTTAGTTTTTGGAGGCCAACTGTTTCAGTACAGCAACAACTAAACTCTGATGTTTTAACATGAAAGTAGCTATAGGTGATACATAAACAAACGGGAGGGAGTATGAGCTGAGTGGCACCCCCAAAATGTGTCCACACTATGATCTTATTTGGAAAAAGAGTTTTTCAGATTATTTCAAGGATTTTGAGGCAAGATCATCCTGAATTATCTGTTTGGGCGCTAAATCCAATGGTGAGTGCCCTTGTGGTAGTAGGAGATTTGGACCACACCAAGAAGAGGTAAAGATCATGTTAAGGCAGAGGCCAAGGCTGGAAATGTGCAGTCACATGGAATGCTGACAGCCATCAGAAGTGGGAAAGGCAAGGAAGGATCCTCCTTTAATTCCTTTGGAGTTAGTACAGTTATGCTGACACCTTGATTTTGGCCTTCTGGCCTCCAAAACTGGGAGGGATTTATGTTGTTTTGGCCACCAGATTTGTGATAATTTATTACAGAGACCCTAGGAAAGTAATACAATGTGTGTAGTTAAATTCTAATAAAATTTTATTTGTAGTAAAACTCATGGTTTAGACCAACAAAAATACTGAACAGACCAGAAAGCTAAAAGCAAGTTAATGATATTTATTCAGAGCCCCCTGAAGCCCAGAGATACAAAGGTATGGAGTCAGGGATTTTGAAAATGCTTAAAGGTATATTTTAAAGATGGAGGAAAATAAATGGAGGCTTACAGTTCCTTATTAGAGATCTTAACTAAGGTCTATCTCAGTTTGAAATGAGAAGAAAATACATGCTCAATTTTAGCTTCCTTCCAGAAGGGTATACTTATTTGGCTTCCTGGAATGATTGTGGAGACATGGAAGGATTTGGGGTGAGAACTTAGATCTGTTCTGTGGCTTAGCCTCCAGTGGACCAGGGATGAACTGATCTTACCAGACTTTACTCCTGATATTTCTCAAATCTCAGGAAATCTGTGGCAGTTTCTAAAGAGAAGATGTGCTTGTAGCCACTATAGGTACTAAGTCCCAGACTGCTGCTCACCTGAGGTCTACCTGTTTTGTTTCGGGATGTGCTCTCTCTCCCTTATCCACTCTACCCTTTCTCAGAGTGGAGAAAGGTATTTGTAGCATGTTCCTCACCCTAGAAGAAATCACTGAGAGGCTGAGGCTCCATTTTTCCTCCATACTAATAATACATTTAAAAAATATTTTCTTAGTTGTCAATGGACTTTATTTATATGTGGTGCTGAGACTTGAACCCACTGCCTCACACATGGTAGGCAAGTACTCAACCACTGGGCCACAGCCCCAGCCCAGTAATAATATTTTTGCAACTAAGTTTGCCTCTCAGTTTTACAACACATTTACATTGTAGATGGCTATAAATTGGATAGAAGTGAGACCCTTATTGCTGTAACCATTTTTAGAATGGAGGTTTGGTCTTTTTCCCATACCCATACAATTTAGCAGTCCATGGTGAAAAGGTTTTAGTGTCAAGATAAACATTAAGATTAGAAAATAAAAAAAACCCCACAGCTGGGTTTTCAATGTGAAAGGATTATTTTAAGTTGCTGAACTGTTCTTCAGAATTTCACAGGTCATTGCTGAATTGCTCTAAATCTCTTTGCTCAATGAAATTGTGTGGTTATAAAAATATGTGTGCAAACCCTATGTACACTTGCTGCCTCCTTTTTGTTCTTTCCCTTTCTCTAATTATTTTTAGTCATGTGTGTCTTTCTAGGATTTCTTTGCTCCATCTTCCATCTTCCTCTCCCTTCTATATTTCTATAACTTTCATCCTCAATTTTTACACGATTTTTTCACTATCAACTAATAGGATTAGTAATAGAACTAGTGAGCATCATATTAGGTGTTGTACATAGATTTTTTCTAAAACTTACCTTGCAAACTAAGTTTTCAATAACAGTTACACAAATGAGAAAATCCAAACCTAGAGTAATTTGAAAACACACACACTCCGAGGTGGGGTTGGATTAAACCTTAGATTTATCTGTCTGGAAGTCATAATTGCCTTCTAACTCACTGTCATCTCTCTTTTTCTCTGCCTTCCCATTTTCTATGACTACAAGTGCTTTAAGTTACCAAGCCATTATAATAAATTACATGTGAGTCTATGTGCATGTCTATGAATCTGCATGTTACAATATATTTGTGGAATAAAGACATATTTTCTTCTCAGTTTAAAAAGAAGAGAGAGTTTTACTTCCCCCCTTCTCTCAGAAATGGTGACAGAAATTTGTTTTTAAGAATTTCTTCTCTTTTAGAAGAAATACTATTTATAGAACTCCTGCATATAACTTTTTCATGTGTTGGTGGCTTGGCCTTGAACGGTGGTATCCATTAGCCACATTTACTGAAAATCCACTGTAGATAGAGGAAAATGCTCAAATACTTTAAAAAGTCCTAAAATAAATTAAAAACACCCTCAAAGAAAGAATCAATTTATTATTTTTGGCCCTCCTTGTCCTCATTTTGTGTCCTGTCAAGAAGTTATATTGAAGTATTTCACATCTGTATCATCTTGATGCTCCTATTATGGATCTAAAATGGCTGCCAAAGTAGAATAAGTTCCTTCTACAGTCCCTGAGTCCAAGTTCTGGGTAGGACCTACCTCCTCCTACTGGAAAAGCTTCCTGAGTCTCGGAAAATTTTGACTACAGGAAGGAGGATCCCAGGCAGGTGGGTCTAAGACATCTTAAGGAACGAGTAGCCCTAAAACAGGGGACTCACAATCATTAGTTGGGTATTCCATTATTAGTTCTCTGTGTCCAGGCCACTGTAAGAGTGAGGCAATACAAATGTAACTGTAACAACACACCTGAAATTTACAAGTGCCATAATAAATGTGATAGGGAATCAGCATTTTTAACAATTAGACAATGTTAGCAATATTTGAATGCTTTTGTATTGTCTGGACATAACTTTTTCTATGTGATCAATTTTAACTCTTTAAGTAACATCTTCTTATTATTGTTAGGTGATGTCTGGAAACCACAGTGGTGGTGAAGGAGTCACTGCTTCATTAGTTTAGAAAGAATATACCTGTGTCTTGGGTCCCTGCATTTTTCTTGTTGGCCATGTTAAATATCGACCTCCTGGAATCTACCAGCAGCCTGTAGTATCCAGCTGTCAAGCAGGCCAGGTTCATGGCATCTGAGGATTCCATCAGGAGTGTGATAGGCTGTACAAAAAAGATGTTTTGGTGAAAGCCATCCTCCTCAATTACCTCTCTCAAGTGGCAACAGCTGCATTTACACTCATTAAATAGAGAAGAAGTTATTAAGCAAAAATTGCATTGGAGAAATGTGAATGGGAAGAAAAAGTCAGGGATAACACAAAGTGCCTTAGTGAAAAACATTTAGGATATATAACTTAAAAAATCTGGACTTTTATGATCTCTTCATGGTCAGATTAGAATAAAAACAACAGCAACAACAAAAATTGATTTTCTTCTCGAATAGTTAACATTTTAACTATTTATAGTAGTTATAAGTTACATCCATGACCAGAAGTGAATTCACAATGTGAAAATCAGAAGAAGATTAAATTTGGGGTTCATGGTGAAAATTAGTGTTAAAGATTAAAAATCAAGTGGAAATTTCTGATGTGATTGAATGAAATACAGAAGACAATTAGAAACTGTTTTGAAAATTTATACTCTAGTAAAATAGAAAACCTCAAAGACACTGACAAATTTCTAGAGGCATATGGTCAGCCCAAACTGAGTTAAGAGGACATACACAATTTAAACAGATCAATTTTAAGCAAGGAAATAGAAGACAGCATCAAAATCCTAAAAACAACAACAACAACAACAACAAAAGCCCAGGACTAGACGGATTTACAGCTGAGCTCTATAAATCTACAAAGAAGAATTAATACCAATACTTCTCAAATTATTCTATGAAATAGAAAAGGAAGGAATCCTTCCAAACTCATTCTACAAAGCTAGAATCATCCTAATACCAAAACCAGGAAGAGACACATCAAAGAAAGAAAATTTCAGACCAATGTCCCTGACGAACATTGATGCAAAAATTCTCAATAAAATTCCAGCTTAATTGCATAGAAAAACACATTAAAAATAGTGCACCATGATCAAGTGGGGTTCATTCCAGAGGTGCAAGGTTGGCTCAACAAATGGAAATCAATAAATATAATTCACCACATCAATAGATTTAAAGATAAGAACCATATGATTATATCAATTGATACCAGTGAAAGCATTTGACAAAATACAGTACTCTTTCCTGTTCAAAACATTAGAAAAACTAGGGATAGTAGGAACATACCTCAACATTGTAAAAGCTATCTATGCTAAACCCAAGCCCAACATCATTCTAAATGGTGAAAAATTGGAAGCATTCCCTCTAAAACCTGGAATAACACAGGGATGCCCTCTTTCACCACTTCTATTAAACACAGTCCTTGAAACTGTGGCCAGAGCAATTAGACAGATGAAAGAAATTAAAGTGATACGAACAGGAAAAGAAGAACTCAAACTCTCACTATTTGCTGATGACATACCTAGAGGATTGAAAACACTCTACCAGAAAACTTCTAGAATTAATGAATTAGCAAAGTAGCAGGATATAAAATCAATACTTACAAATCAAATGCATTTCTATATACCAGTGATGAATCCTCTGAAAGAGAAATTAGGAAAACTACCCCATTCACAATAGCCTCAAAAAATAAAATAAAATAAAACACTTGGGAATCAACTTAACAAAAGAGGTGAAAGACCTATATAATGAAACTATAGAACACAAAGAAAGAAATTGAATAAAACCTTAGAAGATGGAAAGATCTCCCATGCTCTTGAATAGGCAAAATTAATATTGTCAAAATGGCCATACTACCCAAAGCGCTATACAGATTCAATGCAATTTCAATTAAAATCCCATTGTCATTCCTTATACAGATAGAAAAAGCAATTATGAGGGCTGGGGTTGTAGCTCAGTGATAGAGTGCTTACCTAGCATGTGTGAGGCACTGGGTTCGACCTCAACACCGCATAAAAATAAAGAAAGAAAAGGTGTTGTGTCCATCTACAACTTAAAAAAAAAATTTAAAGAGTCATCATGAAATTCATTTGGAAAAATAAGACACCCAGAATAGCCAAATAAATCCTTAGCAAGAAGAGTAAAGTAGGAGGCATCACAACACCAGACCTTAAACTACACTACAAAGCTATAGTAAGAAAAATGGCATGGTACTCGCACCAAAATAGACATGTAGACCAATGGGACAGAATAGAAGATACAGAGACAAAACCACACAAATACAGTTATCTCATATTAGACAGAGGAGCCCAAAACATACTTTGGAGCCCAAAACATACTTTTTTTTTCTTCAACAAATGGTGCTTGGAGGACTATAAATCCTTACGCAGCAAAATGAAAATAAACCCCTATCTCTCACCTTGGACAAAACTCAACTCAAAGTGAATCAAGGACCTAGGAATTAGACCAGAGACCCTGTGCCTAATGGAGGAAAAAATAGGCCCAAATCTGCATCACATTGGATTAGGCCCTGACTTCCTTAATAAGACTCCTAAAGTGTAAGAAATAAAATCAAGAATTAATAAATGGGCTGGACTCAAACTAAAAAGCTTCTTCTCAGCAAAAGAAACAATCAATGAGTTGAAGAGAGACCCTACATTTTGGGAGCAAAATTTTGCCACACATATGTTAGATGGAACACTAATCTCCAGGATATATAAAGAACTCAAAATACTTAACACCGAAAAAACAAACAACCCCATCAATAAGTGGGCTAAGGAGCTGAACAGACACTTCTCAGAAGATATACATTCGATCAACAAATATATGAAAAATGTTCAACATCTCTAATAATTAGAGAAATGCAAATCAAAATTACTCTAAGATTTCATCTCACGCCAGTCAGAATGGCAGTTTTCAAGAATACAGACAACAATTGGCGAGGATGTGGGGAAAAAGGCACACTCATACATTGTTGGTGGGACTGGAAATCGGTACAACCAATCTAGAAAGCAGTATGGAGATTCCTTAGAAAACCTGAAATGGAACCACCATTTGACCCAGTTATCCCACTCCTTGGTCTATACCCAAAGGACTTAAAATCAGCAGACTACAGGGACACAGCCACATCCATGTTTATAGCAGCACAATTCACAATAGCTAAACTGTGGAGCCAACCTAGATGCCCTTCAGAAGATGAATAGATAAAGAAAAATGTGGCGCATATACACAATGCAATTTTACTCAGCATTAAAAGAGAATAAAATCATGGCACTTGAGGTAAATGGAAGGAGTTGGAGAATATCAGGCTAAGTGAAGTAAGCCAATCCCCTAAAAACAAAGGCCAAATGTTCTCTCTGATTAAGTGGATGCTGATCCATAATGGGCAGGAGCATGGGAAAAATAGAGGAATTTTGATGGGGCAAAGGGGAGGGAGGGGCCAGGAGGGGTCATAGGGGCAAGGAAGGAAAGATAGTGGAATGAGATGGAGATCATTAACCTAAGTACATGTATGACTGCACATATGGCACAATGCTACACTTTGTACAACCAGAGAAAAGAAAATTTGTGCTGCAGTTGTGTACAATGAATCAAAATGCATTCTGCTGTTACATATCCTAATTAAAATAAATAAATAAATGATTAATAATAAAAGACTGAATGAAAACTGTCAAAGATATCTAGGAAACGGATACTTCTGAAAGAAAAGGTACATTTACAGGAAGGTTAACTAGAACTGAGAGTTGAGAAAAGACCTTGATAAACTTTCTGGAAATCAATGATATTATATAAATGGACATGTATCTTGGGTGTTCAGGGAAGGAAATGTTGATAGAGCAAATTTTTTTTTAGTTAGGAAGAGTGTGTTCTTGTGGAAAGTGAAAGAACCTGGGAGAGAAATAAGGGAGCAACAAAAAGCAGACATGAAGAGAGGAAGAAACAGGTCTCTACTGTCACTCCCAGGAATAGGATACTGGTCATGCTCAATGTCCCTGATTGGTAGAATAGAAATTCCCATCCAAAGAACCTGTACTACTTGTTGAACTATCTTTCCTTCAACTATAGTGGTCTCCCCTCAATCTTGAAGCTATACTACCATTATTCATTACAAACCAGGACACCATTAGTAGGGTCTCACCATTCATTTCTATTTAGATTAAGGCTGATAGCAGACCTATAATGACCACATTCAGTTCATTCTTCTGCCCTTTTCTCATTATGGGGTTATTTCCCTTAGTATCATTAGTCATGGACTAGGACAGACATTCCAAATACATTACAAGACTTGTAACTTGCCATGAAGTCAATTGGAGTCCTCTAGATTCAGCCCATGAAATCCTATGGAGCATAGATAACATGTCCTAGTTCCATATTCTCTCTTTCCTGACCATTTGTTCCTGTTGCAGAGTGTACTGATATATCCTGATTTGCTCTAGAAACCCTTTCCCATAGCTTCTGTTATTCTTGATCCACTCTTCCCAGAACACACTGGTGGTAGTATGGGCATGGTTGGGTCTTCTCTGACCATCCTCAGAGCATCCCTGCTAGCTGATGCTGTCTCTTTTGTGGAGGCCCTGTCTCCTTTTGAGTCTAGTGCTTTTTCTCCATAGAAACATTAGATACATTAACATAGGCAAAATCCAATGACTCAAATTTACTGGAAGAAGAAGGGGGTGGGAAAAGGACACCTGGATTGTTTCCTGCTGATTTCTGATAAGGGGAGTAGAGTTTAGCCTTTTGTAGACAACCTCGGATGGTTGTTTTAAATAGAATGACCATGACATTCCTAGGGGCAAGATGTTCAGTCAGTAGCAATTTCTACAGCATGAGAAGACAAACTAAAATACCCATCTTTTCCAAAAGAACAATCACATATGGTCCCAACTTAATGAAAGGGAATAGGAATTTTGAATAAAGTTAGGGAAAAGAATCTCCCTGACTCTGAGTGAATCATACATTCTAGAAAGTTGGGAAAAATCTCCCCTAGTCTCTGCCTATGGCTCAGTATTATAAAATAAGAGGGACCTAGAAATGATATAGCTTGCTTTCTTATGTATAGATAAAGAAATGAAGCCCAGAGAAGCATATCAAATTGCCCCCAAATCACAGCAGACTGGAGTCTCAGGCCTGAGTGGGATGGATTTTCCTGCACCTCAGAGCATTGCTGAGACTCTGCACACATTAACTTCTCTGCTTTGTAAATGCCAGCAGTGTTGCCAGAAATGAGATGTTTAAACCAAGGTCATATATCAACATATGAAAGGCTTACCTTCACATCTAGCACATGGAGCTCCACCCTCACCAAGTTCTCCTCTTCAGTAAACATTTCGATCCTGTTGACATGGCTGAAGTCAGCTAAAAGTGCCACCAGATTGGTTTTGGTGTTTATGACATGGCTTATGCCATACCGTGGCCCAACCAGGAGAGTCACTTCTGAGCGCTTTTCTGCCTGCTGAGAAGAGATGGTGACAAAATATTTTAAAACTCACACTTTCTGAAGCACCATGCAAAGTTGAACCTAGAGCCTGTTTTTATAAGATTATATTTTCTTTTTTATTTAGAGAGAGACAGAATTTTTTAATATTTATTTTTTAGTTTTCGGTGGACACAACATTTTTATTTTTATGTGGTGCTGAGAATTGAACCTGGGCCGCACGCATGCCAGGCAAGCGCGTTACCACTTGAGCCACATCCCTAGCCCTAAGATTATATTTTCTTTAGAAAGTACGTCTGGGTCACATTGTACTACATCATCCAATGAGAAGAACCAGATATATGATCACATTGAAGCTCTTGTAAATTATGAATAATATATAAAGAGAATGTTATCATAACACAATAAATTCATAATCACAAAAGTTATTTATTTTTTTTTTTAGAAATGAGGTTTGTGGCTTCTCTCTTTTTAGTGTCAAAGAAACTTCTGGCTCAATGATTTTAAAAGCAGCTGTTGTTAGAGCCCTTTGATTCTCCTGTTTCTTCACATTTCTTTTTCTAGGGCATTCTGCAATGGCATTATCTAGTTTAACATTTTTTTTCAGATATTTTCAGACAGTGGTGAAGTCAATTAGAAATGAAGGCTGGAAAAGATTCATAGCTGATTTGCTTTTGCTTCAGGGGCAGTTCACTGAAGACAGCCTCTGCAGTGATATTTTATGGACCTCTATAGCTTCTGATAAAAAGCAAGAAAGCAGAAATTACCACTAACGTTGCCTTGAACACACGGCCCCCATACAGTCGCAGGTCACTGAGGAACTTGAGATAGTGAACCTTGGCTTGTAGTGCAGAGAGCTGAAGAGAGAAAAGAAAACTAACTTGTTGACTCCATTGGGTGTGAGTCCATTTGGGCTAGAGACAGACTAGAAACAAGGGACAAACTAGAAGAACAATTTCTTGCTGGGGAGATGGAGTATGACAAGACCCTTCTTTAGGAAGGAGAGTAAATTGCTATGTATTTGGTTTCCTTATGATAGATTGCAACATGACATCAAGATTCAAATCTTAATTCATTTGAGAGAAATGCATGGGGAACTCACGAGTATGGGGATGTGGGCTGAGATGTTTGACAATTGAGAACAAGTTCATAAAATGTTCCATGGAAACATCTGCCCATTGGGAAGTTTCAAGAGGCTAATGGTGCTTTCCAATTGCAGCTAAGGACAAAGGTGGATTGCACACAAATTCTCCCACAGCACAGGAGACTCACCTGTATGTAGTTTGTGGGAGCTGTTTAGAATACGCACCTGGAATCTATGCAAAGCCTTTTAAACAGGCTCTTACACTTCCCCTCTCAAGTTTCTTCTGGTCTTTGCAAATTTACAGGGAAAATGAACTTTCTGAACTTCAATCATTGTGGAAATGTTTGAACTTGCTATATAAGTCCTTGTTTGGTTAAGTCAACTCTGAGAATCTGTTGAGTTTCATGAATGAGTTACAAATGAAATTTTATCCAGATAAAGTTTATCTTTATAAAGACTTAATGTAGGTTCCCACATCATTAAAAAAAGTATTTCGATTAAAAACACGTCCATGTTTCATACTGAATGTGCCAGGAATGTTTATTAAGGGTGAAATTTTCCAACAAGGCTTAGATGATCTTTCAGTAGCAATGCCTATTAAATTCTGTTTCACTTGAAGGTACTATCCTTTATGTAATTGTTATTTAGTGCCATTTATTATTGTTATTATTATTATTATTACTATTATTTTGTGGTACTGGGGATTGAACTCAGGGACTCACACATGCTAGGGAAGTGCTCACCACTGAAGTACATTCCCAGCCCTTTTAAAATTTTGATTTTGAGACAGGGTCTTGCTGATTTGCAGAGGCTGACCTGTAACTTGTTATCCTCTTGCTTCAGCCTCTCAAGTAACTGAGATTTTAAGCATGTGCCACTGTATCTGGCTCACTCATCTTACTTTTTACAAAAACTCAACATGCTTTGCAAATTTTGAAAGCAAGCCACTTGTTATAGAAAAGCTTAGCATTATAGAAGGACAGTGATACATACAGAAATGGATAGAACTTATATTATTTCCTAAATTATTATAATGCAAATGGGTCAGACTTTAAAAAATATCAAATCAATTAGTAGAAATTAGCTTTGGGCAAATCAGAATGGAAATTTAAAAAAAAATCTTGACCCAGGGCATTCCACTATATTCTTAAAGCTGAATGTTCACTGTGATGGGACAAACATATTCCCATGAACTGTAAGTGAAAGGAGGCTGAGAGTGTGTTGAACCTGATTACACATTAAAAAATGTTATGGGGCAGGGAGAAAGGAATAGAAATAATGTGCCTTAACTAGTAAAATGACTTAGAATCTGATACTAAGATCAAAGAATTATCTACATGGACCATGGTATACATGAGAGTCATATACGTTTCTATAGCCAATAACAATTGGAAAGTGTTCTTAGGTTGTTAGCCTGCTCCCTATTTTATGTGCCAATAATTCAAGTCTCCTTGTCTTTCTGGTTATTGGAATTCATTTTTTAATTATTTACAAACCATACCTTTCTTTTCTGACCAACAGTATATTTTAAAAAGTCTTCTGTGTTTCTCCTACTTAATAAAAACAAATACAAAAGTTTTAACACTAATGATGAGTGACAGAAATAATTTTATCTTCCTTCTAAAAGTAGGATTTAATACAATAGTTGTCAGTAGGGGTGATTTTGTTCCCTAGGGCACAACTGGCAATGTACACAGACATTTTTCTTTGTTGCAATTAGGGGAGGGGTGAAAATGGCATCTGGCAGGTAGAGACCACAATGCCCAGGACAGCTTCCCTTCCTCCTGCGACAAAGAATGAACTGTTACAGATATCAATTATGTTACAGTAGATATACCCAGATTTAAAAAAGGGCCCCTTTTTGGCTGCTATACATTTAAGCTGGTCTGAACAGTAAGCAAGAACATAAAGGAAATGCAGAATTATCTTACAGTTCTATTGCCTAATCACAAGGTCTCAGAGGCCGTGCAAGGTAGGCTCGTGAATGTACATGTCTCGTACAGAAAGGGATTTCTAACTTGTAAGAAGTACACAGGTTTCCATAAGGATATTTGTCTTTCATTAGTCTTAGAAAACTTTAATGATTTTTTTAAAGTTATAGAGTGTTACTGCCTTCTGAAAATATGGTGCTAAGTATTTTATTCATGGGCTAATTTTAAACATTTAAAAAAATGCATGCAAACCTCCCTCTTCAAAATCTATTTTCTATTAAGATGCAAATGTGATACCTTTTTACCCGGTGGTACCAAGTTTTGATTTGCTTTGACAAGGTGTGAAAGTGCTTTCTTTATGTTCTTCTCTTTCATGCTTTGCAGCACAGCAGAGGGAAGAAAAGTCTCTAATCCCCATTCTTTCCTGCAAGAAAAAGCATATCTTTAATTTCACATTCCTGTGATGATTAGTTATCTAAGACAAAATGGCACTCTGATGTTTGTTGGAACAAATGAACTCTTGGTAGGGCAGGGAAGCAACTTTTAATTTACATCCAGGAAACATACTATTTGATCATTAATACATACGTTTGCATTTTAAAAGAAACATATTCCTTACTCTCCAGAAAGAGTGCTAAGAAGGCATATGGGGACCAATGGAAATTGAAGAGGCATTTTGTCCAACCCATTTCTGGAGATTAACTCACATGTCCAAGTTTATTCTTTCAATATCTGTTTCTATACATTTCTTTGTTTATTCCCATTCTCACATCTCCCTGTCTGCCCACATTTTCTCTCTCTTTCTCCTTCTTCTCTTAGAAGAATGGTTGCAATTTCTTCATGCCCCAAAGCATCTTCCTTGCCATTCTCCCTCATCAGTGGCTCATTTTCTAGAAACTCACAGTTCTTTTATCCCAGTCAATTCATGTGTAACTCCTTCCATCAATATCTCTTATACAGGGGGCAGGTTATGACCCTCAAGTATGTCGGTACTTACAGGAAGTATACATCTATCATGGATATGGATATATAAGAAAAAAAGCAGCACATAGGACTGGGTAAATATATTTTTGGCCAAAACCCCAGCAATCGTTAAAACCTCTTCTAAGAGGGTTCCATATTTGAATGCTTAGAAACCTATACTGATTGTTTATGGGCCCAACCAGTGTCATCTAAATTATAAAGAGCTTCAAGAAGATTCTGTTATTTCTCCTTTTCCAGATCCTCTCTGATGAAGGGTAAGAAGAAATCAGCATACCTCAGTAATGCAACCCCATCAGTGTTTACGGCAGCTCAATTCACAACAGCTAAGCTATGGAGGCAACCTAGGTGCCCTTCCATAGATGAATGGATAAAGAAAATGTTGGATATATACACAATGGAATATTAGTCATAAAGAAGAATAAAATTATGTCATTTTCTGGTAAATGAATGGAACTGAAGACTATCATCCTAAGTGAAATAAGCTCATCTCTAAAATCAAAGTTTGAATGTTTTCTCTGATATGCAGAAGCTAATTTAAAATAAGGGGGGATAAAAAACAGAATAGAAGATCAGAGGAGTAGAAAAAGGGGAATGAAGGGAAGAGAGAAGGAATGGCATAGGAAAAGTGAGTGGAGTGAATCTGACTTTACTTTCACATGTACATATAGAAATATAGCACAGTGACTCTCACCCTCACATATGTTCATAAGACACTGGTTAGAAAAAAAGTTGTAAGTAAATAGCACAAAGATAGGTAGATTTATTGTCATGTATAACTAAAAAGAACCAATAAAAATAGAAAAAAACCAACCTTCCCCCCCCCAGTTCACCATTCATGTTCTTTGTTAAAGATGCAATTATTTGTGATTACTATATTTTTTCTTCTTCCTCAACTTGTACTTATTATTTTAATTCATTATTTGGCACTCTTGTGGGTGGCCTTTTAGTTCTACTTTTATCATTAATTAATTAATTTACTTTGGTACTGGGGTTGGAACTCAGGGCTTCATGCATGCTAGATAAGTACTCTACCACTGAGCTATAGCTCCAGCCTGGAATTATTACTTTAAATAACTACTTTTCATATCTTTATGTTTTATCTTTACAATCAGACCACAAGTTCCTTGATGCTCAATGAATATTTGTTGAGTAAAGGAATTGATGATGACACTATTGTAGAATCTGCAAGATTCTTAGTCAAGCTAGTTACCTCTGAGAGGTTTTTGACTCTACAACCTGGGAAAATGTTCAATCTGGGAAAATGTGGCTACAAGAGAGTAGGAACAGAAATGCATCTTAATTGTGTGAAGATCTGCTCAGGTTGTGCAGGTCATCTTTTCAAATGGCAGCCAGTTTCATTCGTCTCTAAGAACTTCAGAAAGGGGAGTGGAAAAAGGTGTGAATATGTCCAGCTGCGTTTGAGACCTCTCTGTGAGCTGTACTTCTCTCAGGCTACAGTCACTGCAGGTGTGTGGCAAGGGAAAAAGAGAGAAACCATCTGGGAGGAGTGGGTTGAGACTCTAACTGAATATGAGGGTTTGTCTCTAGGCATCAATGGGTGAATTGAGAGTTGCCAGAACAGTAGCACTGAAGACAGAAAATTGGAGTTCAAATACTTTCCAACACAAGTTCATGAGAAAAGCCACTTTTCCCCCAGGTGGGTTAACCTGGCATCATGTTATTTTATAGGCAGCCCATGGGAGGCTTCTTTGGAAGGTGAGATTATTGTTAGTTTGTCCATCTCTTAGAGGTGGGGACAGGGAGAAATTCAAGGCAACTTTAAGCGTTACATGGAGATGGGGTTTTGGCCTGGTCATGAACTCTGAAATATGAGTGTTCCAGTTTCTTAGCATAAAGAACTGCCAGCACGAAGTAAGTTGGGGTTGAGTTAGGCTTTTGAATCATCTCCAGGGAGATACAGAGCTTCCTTTTAAAGGATGACCCTTGAATATACTCACTTATATAGACTCATCAACTGAGGGCAATACACACTATCTTTTATCTAAGACAAGGGGATCTTCCCTGGCCGAAGAAGTCTATGGAAGCAGTTGAGTGGAAGACAAAGCAAGAGAAGGCATTCATAACGAGATATGATTCACAAAGTAAAGTTGGTTTGGGGCATCCTTTCAATCTCAGTTTTCACTACAAATACCATGCTTCCCAATTATGGCATTACTTTTTAAAAAATATTTATTTATTTGTAGATGAACACACAGTATATTTATTTTTAATGTGGTACTGAGGATTGAACCCAGTGCCTCACACATGTAAGGCAAGCACTTTACCACTGAGCTATAGCCCCAGCCCGGCATTAGTTTTGATACTGCCTTTTGACCATCTCAATTGATCTCAGGTGCCTCAAGCCATCATGCAAACTGTTGCACAACTAAAGGTCCCCTTGCCCCTTCCAGTGAATGGCCCTGTGACTTGGGCAAATTACATAATCATTCTATGCCTCAGTTTGCTCATCTCTAAAATGAACCTAAAATCCCACTGCAACTATAGGGACATTGTGAGAATTAAACAAGTTAATGCCTGAAAGGCACTGAGATTAAAGCTTGGCTTGGAACCAAATCCTTTTAGGAATTTTTAAATGTACACTTCATTTTAAATGTGACCCTCATTTTAACTACAATTTTTAAAGGCAGATTATGTAAGTAATGGATCTGTTCCACTACATCAGGGACATGATATTCATACATTTGCTTCTGGTTAACAAATGCTCTGCTACAAGCAAGATCAATTTTGGAAATAAAGATCAAAAATACACTGAGGTGTTAAGGAGGCAGCATCTCTGTCTCTGAAATGACGCTGAGAGCCAACACTTACTCGATGTATTTGAGCGATATTTTCTGCGTCTGCTTGGTGGTAACTGTTGCGATGTACATTTGTAAGGCGGCCAGCCGCAGGGCTATGTCGTATTTCAGCTCCGGCCCAAATCGCTCCTGAACCACATCGTTACAGCTCTGCGAAGAGACCAGCAGAGGGCGCAGCTCGTCAGAGAATGGGCCACCCCGCTTTGCCTTAGAGGAACAGGTGACACGCATTTCCCCCAGCGTTTTCAACCTTCACTTCAAAGGCAAGGAGGCTAAAAGTGGAAACATTTCCACCGTGCTGCTTGGAACCGCGTCAGTATTTAACTGCACGCACAAACACAGAGACCACACAAAACATTTAACATTCATCGACAAGCTGTTATTTAAATATTTAGCTTTTTGTAAAAATAATTAGGATTTTAGGAATGAAATTTCCAAACACAGGTGCTGCAGCTGAACACGCGAAGCACTGATAGCATAATATGGCTTTTGGAGTTAGGCTGTCAGAGTTGGAATTCTAGGCTCCTAATTTGTTCTTCCATTTCCTAGGGGGTGTGAACTCGGGCAAGTGTCCCCTCTTATAAAGTGGGGAAAAAGCATCAAGAGTCATAGGGTTGTGTTGAGGATTACCTAAGTTAATGTAAAGCCATTAGAATTTACCTGGTAAACTGTAAACGCTCTTACAGATTAACTACTGTCATCAACAACATTACTCTCTGCCTTCTCTCTTTCTGTCAATCCAGAGCAGCTTCAGGGAGGCAGAATCAGTAAGGAGACTGGGTTGGCAGCTCTGGACGTCTACCTAACTGTTCTTCAGTCCCAGCTTTGCCAATGGCTACCTGTGTGTGAAACCTTGCCCTGTTAGCATATACGCCTGTGGCTTCAGTTAACTCATCTGTGCAATGGGGATTCACACTAACTGCCTCATGGGAGCAGTTCAAGCATTCAGTATGTGTCCACTGGCACACTCTAAATGGCAGTTATTCAAATTTTCCATTCATTTGAATGCCCTGCTACTTCAAAATTGTAACTCTGTGGGAGTCATTCCACATCTCCAGGTGTTAGTTTGTACATCTGTAAAATGGAGAACACCTAACTCACAGAATCTGTTGTAAAGATCAAATTAAAGGGTGACTGAGAGTGTGTTATCAAGTGCAAAGTCCTGTATGACCACAAGAGTTGGATCTTAAAAGAGTAGGGTTCTCATTCATTAGGAACAAAGCAGTGAGCTAAATGTTGACCAAATCACAGCATTGCTTAAGTATGATTTGCATATGTTTACTTATTTTTGTTATGGGAACTTGGGTTCTTGTGCTAAAGAATATATTTAACCCTTTTAAAAAAATCCTTCTTTTCCTTATTCTTTGCCTTGTCCCAAAAGGATTTCAAATGGAAACCTACATCAGGAGTTGTTTGTCTCCTCTCAAGAGAAGCACATTTTAATCACTTCATATATTGATTTTGAGAGAGAGAGAGAGAGAGAGAGAGAGAGATTTTTAATATTTATTTTTAGTTTTCGGCAGACACAACTTCTTTGTATGTGGTGCTGAGGATCGAACTCAGGCTGCGCGCATGCCAAGCAAGCGCGCTACTGCTTGAGCCACATCCCCAGCCCTTTATATATCGATTTTACTACAATGGGAACATGTACCACTGTATGGCTTCCGCATACAATATTGACATTTTGCATACTTAACCCATGCTGTGCTGGCCCTGTATGCTGCACATTCTATCCACCTGTGATGTATGCATGTCTTCTGGCCTGTTGCTTTACTGTTAAGTGTGAACCCACATTTTGTTACCCTTCCACCCCTAGTGTGCTCTTTGACCTTTGTTTTCTGATAAAATCTTAAAGCTACCTGGAATGCAGGGGACCCCTTGTTGGAAGGGGGTCTGTCATGAGACAAAAGCAAGGGAGTTTAAGTTAGGGAAGTCTCTGAAAGCAATCCCAGGCTACCATTTTTTTTCTTTTTGGTACCAGGGATTAAATCCAAGGGTGTTTGACTACTGAACCACATCCTTAGCCTGTTTAATGTTTTATTTTGAGACAGCATCTTGCTAAGTTGCTTCAGGCCTCCCTAAGTTGCTGAGGCTGGCTTTGAACTTGCAATCTTCCTGCCTTAGCCTCCCAAGTCACTGGGATTACAGGTTTGCACTACCTAGCCTGACTGCCATTTTGTTTTGCTAGATTGGGTTTACCAATTATTTCCAAGTGCTCAGGATTGTTCCTATGGGGTCCAAGGGAATAACAGACTAGATAGGGTCAATTTATAGAGTCCCATGAAAGATAGGAATAAGGAAACCACTTGGCACAGGGCCAGGTGCATGAAGAATTTTTTTTAAGATAAACCATTTGATAAATCACTTTCTTCAATGACTGCTATCGCTTAATAGATCTGAAGCAGATGATTTTTGTACAGAATCCAGAGACAAAATCTTAGGTTTGATGCCAGGCTATGTCAGCTACTAATCAAATGACCTCGAAAATGGCATTTCATTTTTCTTGAGTCTCAATTTTCTTATGTGAAAAATGGTCAAATTTTCAACAACAACTAACTTGAGAATTAACAATTAAATCACAAGGCTGTCATGATGCCTGTGAGAATGCTTAATAGTGGAACATGCTTTATAAAAAATGATTCATCACTATTACTTCTCCCAAGAGTTGTGGCTGGGATCATTTTCCCCATCCCTGTTTTACCCTGTATTTAACCAGACTTTTGGGTGAATTTTTTTGACAAGGTATTTAGTCAATTATATCAATAGTTCAGAGGGATCCTTGAGAATTATTGTGAAATCTGAATTTTATATATATATATATACACATATGTGTGTGTGTATCATTCTTTTATTACTCTCAAGTATATTACTTAAAATACAGTTACACAAGTGAATGGCAATCACTGTTTTTCATAGGTCTTTGGGCCTATGAAATGTTCATTTGCAATTAACGTTAGGTGTTAAAAAGTAAACCAATGCTATTAAAGTGTTTCAAAACATTTTGGAGCCTCTTAGGTCACATCTTGTTTACTAATTGGTGTACCAATCTTTTTCTTAATACATAGGAGACAGGAAAACATCAGCATAGCCCATCATAATTATGAATTAGAATAATCTGGATTAATAGTTTACTGTTAATACACATGCTAAAATCTGTTAAAGGTCTTAAGGCCCATTAATAACTAGGAGATTCATAGATATCATCACTCTCTAAATCTGTTTTCATCAGCATGCCTCAACTAGTCAATGGTGACTATTCTTGTTAGGAGGCTGCTAAATAAAATTGATTTTGTTTTTCTATAGCGACTCTTACTCTTTAATTCTCTAGGTTAATTTCATTGCACCTTTTTAGTATCTTAAAATCAACATCACACAGGCACCACTTTGCAAACCTGTTTTCTTATATCAGACAGATATGTTATTTTAGATACACCACACATTCTGTGATGTGGGCATTTCAACGTAGAGAGTCTGAGGCAAAGAAAGTTTCATTTCCTATTCTCAGTGGAGGATATATAAGATGATAACAGCTTTATTGTGGTCTCTATTGCCTACCATATATGGTTATCCGTCTCCCCTGCTGGCTACTCCTTGAAGAGGTAGCTAATCCACCACCTACACAGCACAAAAGGTGGGAAAGCAGGAACATTAGTCTTTTTCTGCTTGTCCCTAGGCAAGATCTCCAGACAGCTTTTCCCATTCTGAGACAAGTCCCACAGGTATAAAAGATGTGTCTTTTGAGTAAGAAATATCTCCATGCATTAAATTTGAGCAAATACACCTTAATAGAATCAGGTTTAAGGTTTTCCTTGTCTACTTAAGAGGAAACACAAGCATGTTATTCTTTTATAAATATAATGTACTTGTTGTGTTTAAACAGAAGTAGAGTCAAATGGATTTAAAGCACCATCCTGCAATCAGGATGCATGTATAACTAAAGAAAATAATCATCAAGTGTATCTGTCTATAGCTATAGTGTGACTGGCACCTGTAACTACTTATTTGCAACTAATGAGCTAATAAATGAAGCACGTGGTCTTAACTGGAGTGGTGGGCCCTGTGCTGGTTCTCAGCAGGAATATGGGGAAGATGCAGTAATGGATCAGCTGAGAATCAGGTTTTGTTTCATGCAGTCATGTCTGGGTTCCCTGGCCTATTAGGGAACAGGGGACATCATTGACAAGTAAAGGGTCCAGGTGACCAAGTTTAACATTTAAAAACTTAAAACATGACAGTCTCACTGTTTCGAGTGGAAAATCCAGAATACATTTTTTTTCTTGATAAACAGAGTATGAATTGAACAGGATTTGATGCATCCTAAGTGTTCAGGGTCATCTTCATGAATATCAATCATCTTATTGAGCCATAAATACCACAGTCTCTTCTAAAGACCACTGAGGTAGTGAAAGTTTAACTGGCCTTACCCTGAGGACTCCCATGTGCTAGAATGTTCTCCTTCTTTTATTTTCTGACTTCATTTCTGATCTCTAGGGCTTATTATCACTTTACTTTATGTGATAATTTCTAACTTCTAAAATCTATCTTGTCTATCTCTCTTCTATGTTCTATCTCTCTTCTCCCTATCCAACTTTTGAGGATACCAAAAGCTTTGAAATACATCCAATACATGTGTACCAACTACTCAGAGTTAACAAACGTTTGTTTGTTATTGAATATTTAAGTAAGAGTAATAGGATATGGTTATAGAAAAATATAGAATCATCTCCTAAATATCAAATTGAATAAATTTCTTTTGGGACAAACTGTGCCAGATACTCATTCCTGGAAGTTTTTGCTTTTGGAAGAATTACATCCTAGAATCAAATATCAGATAGATGGTCTAGAAAAGTTCTATTAACTGAAAACTAATAATTCCAGTATAATAAATATGACAATATTTCAGAGCAATCTAAGCACCAAATAAGTGCATGAGTAGATACATAAATAAAGGAGAAGGGGAAAATATTTCTTACAGTAACATGCAAATTAATAGATGAAGAAGAAATTATGGAATTAGGCACATAATTTTCTACCATTATAATATTAATAGATTCAGGAAAGAATCATCAATTAATACTAAAATAGTGTGTAAAAATTTGATGAGATACAGGATAATAAGAGTTGCACAGTGATTTCTCAAATTAGTTATTAGTTATAATTACAAAATTAGTTATAATTACAAAAGGAAAAGTAGTAACTTTGGGAAGGAAGATTTTTAGAATACCACCTAAGAGTTAGACTTGATAATAAGGGGATAAACTGCCATCATGTGCTTCCTGATGTGATGCATTGAAGAGGACACAGTCACTCATCTTATTCTTTCCAAAATATATAACCTCAGTGTAATCATAGAAACATACCAGAGAAGCCAAAATTGATAGATTTCTACAAAATATCTGATAAGTACACCTCAAGACTCTCAAGGTCATAAAAGTCAAAGAATGGCTAAGGAATGTTCCAGAGATAGGGAGATTAGAGAGAAATGACAACTAGATGCAAAATGAGATCCTGCTGTGAATTTTGATCCAAATAAAAATTGATATAAAGAACCTTTGGGGGACAATGGGCATAATTTGGATACAAACTACAGATGAGATAATGGAAATAACATCAATGTTAAATTTCTTGATTTTGTGAATTGTACAATGATCATATAAAAATCATTTAGATTACTAGAAAATGTACACTGTATTTAGAAGTAAACACACTTGATTTTGGTAACTACCTTTCATGTCATTTAGAAAAAAAAAACGTGTGTGTATTTTCCTATGGAGAGAGAGACACTAATAAATATGGAAAATGTTAATCATTGCTGAACCTGAGTGGAAAATATAGATGACTACTTTTACAAGTTTTTAGGATGAAGACTAACAGGAAAAGATCTCCCCAAAAATAACTCAAGGAGAAAAAGTTAATTTATCCCACAACCTTTGTATAAACCATGCTAAATTTTTCACATACCTGAACATAGAGATACTCAAAAGCAACTGGATCTCTCCTTAACAGGTCAATTGGATCCTTTGGGACAAAGCTAATTCGGAAAAGACACCTCATCTTATGGGAACAGGGCCTCTGTGTCACCTGGAAGAATAAACCCATCATACAGGAACCTTTCAGTGCCATCTGAGAGATGACTGAGGGACAGAGAAGCAAAGTCAACTTTCTTTCCACACTAGAGTAGTCAAAAGTTCTTTTAGTATTTATCATGGATACTCATTCCCTGAAAACTGCATCTTACCTTGTGACTTAGGTTGGGTTTCCCAGAAGCAGGCCTGGAGATGAGGGCTTCCATGCAAGGGACTTATTAAGGAACTGATCCCAGGAGAGCCCAGTATATGGGGGTGGGGGGAAGCAGGTCAAGATAGGAGAAAATATAGTCCTTTGTAGGATCATACGAATTCAAACAAATATTTACATTAAACCAATTTTTACTCCACTCAGAAATTGTAATAATTATATCACATTGATTTCAAAGATACATAGTTGGTTTGTTTCAGGATATTTAAATAAATTTTCTTAAGTTTTGTTTACCTAGTACCAGAAGAGATTTTTAAAAAATCTTTATTCAATAAATCAGCATGACATATTCCTTGAAGCCTATGAAGTAGACATAAGTTTAGAGAAAAAGTATAAATGGTAAGATAGAGTTGTAGGGCTTTTGTTAGACTCATAGTAACTGGCTATCTGTCCGCATCCCCTTGTAACTTTTTGCTACAGGCTAAAAGCTATTTCCTGCAAATACCTGTGACCATCTGACAGCACAAGGCAAACCTGAATAACTAGGGAGTTACCTATCCTCAGATGCAGCTCACCAACAATAGCAGACCATACAGTGGTGGACAAATGCCTCAGCTACCTCACCCATTGGGTGGGATACTTCTGACATGTATTTTATACTCTCTCCCATAGTTCCCCAGTTGGAGTGAGTTGTCTGCAGTAGAAACTGATTTGATGATATAGTCCTTATTGACTTCCCAATTGTTTCCATTCCCTTCCTCATTCCTCCTCCAGAATTTCCCAAGATCTCCTTCTAAATAAACCACATGCACTCCAATTCTTGTTAAGCTCTGCTTCTCGGATGCAGATATTGAGCTTCCAGTTGATGGATTCTGTATATCAGAGATTGTTACTTTATAATAAGGCACAAAAGAGTTCAATTTCCAAGAATGTTTTAGCATAGGTCAAAATAATAAACAATCACTAGAAACAATTTAATATAAGTATGGGTTGATTTAAATCTGATATAAATAATAGGTCAAGTTTTGAGAAGAATATAAACCAACACAAATGGCAACTTTCCAATTCATTACCTCCAATTGGACTAAATCAAGAGAACCAGGGATTATTTGCAGGACTCAATGTGTGGGAAACCAGTTTTTAATTATGACACAAACAAGAAGCACTTTAGTGTGATGGTACTTTCTGTCCATCCATCTATTTGGTGGTATCTTGATGCTTCAGCTCCTAATATCCTCTCATTACCTCTCTCTAAAGTTCCATCATCACTGAACTCTTGCATGTAAGAGGAATTTGTTGAAACTTCTAGGATATTCAACAAAAGACTCCTCTTGTGTGGAATTACAGACAAATGAGGATGCTATGCTGAATTCAGCAGCCAAGCAGTCTGCTTGTCTCCCCAGAGAACAGATGGGGGTGGCATCTTGGTAACCAGGAACTGGGACACATTGGTAGATCACATATTTATAGCGGGCAGGACTGGGGCAGAGATTTTAGGCTTCCCAAAATAATTTTAATTATATATCCCAAATTTAAGACAACTAAATTTGATTTTTACTTAATGTACATACATAATCTCAGAAATCATTTCTTTTTAATGATTTCAAGAGATCAATGATCAAAATAGGGGAACAAGTCATTGTAATAATATAAAATATAATTCTACAGAGCTGTATTGCCAACAAGTAGCTGCTGAGACTTTGATGAGTCTGTTTGGGAGATCAACTGGTGGTCCATGAAAGATTGACAAAAAGGGAATAATCCTTCTTGAGGGGTAAAATGCCTCCTGAATGCCAGCGGTCCCTTCCGTGAGAACACAGGAGATGCAGTTACTACACTGAAAGGATTAAAGGAAGGGACATTCTGAGACTGCAAGCTTGGCTCTGCTCTTACCAGCAACATCAACACTTGAGAGTATAATTTCACAGACCTGAGTAAGTGTCTCCTGTTCATGAAGTAAGAGCAGCTTGGTGCCAGCCCCTTCTGTCCTCTGCTCCAGCATGAGGGAGAAGTGCTCGATGCCTTTGATGGAGAGCTTCTCTTGAAGGGTTAAGATGACATCCTTACAGAGGAAATATGACATAATGAGATCAAAATCAAAGGTACTCCTTTTTGGAGTCTATCATGACTGGAAAGTGTTATATTTTTAGGCTTTACATCTTGAAATTGCATATCTTTGGTTGATTCTGAAATTTAATGCTTCAAAAAAGTATACAAGTAAGGCCTTCCTTCTCTTAGCCTTTTCCTGATCTCCCAAGTACCCAACATCTTTATGGAGTTCAAGACCTAGAGGTACATAGCTGTAGAGGGAGCTTACCTACCAAGTCATGTCTTAAATTAGAAAGGGTGTCAATAGATGGTGTAATGTAGTTCAAATATCCTTCTATATGAAGTAGTTATTAAACCAGCTTTGAAAGTGGTCTGCTTCAGGGGTATAGCCTGAATGCCAAATCTACCACTTGTTTTTGTAAATAAAGTTTTACTGGGACACAGCCATGACTATTTCTTTGTTATCTATACTGCTTTCACACACCATATCAACAGAGTTGAGTAATAGCTCATGAAGCTTGAAATATTTGTTATCTGGCCCTTTACAGAATGAGCTGGCACCTGGTCTACCTTTCTGCACAAGGAATATGGAAAGGGTGAGGAAAATAGACTTTGGAGATATTCTGGTTTCTTTTTTAAAAATATTTTTAGTTGTAGTTGGACACAATATCTTTATTCATTTTTATGTGGTGCTGAGGATTGAACCCAGTGCCTCACACGTACGAGGCAGGTGCTCTACCTCTGAGCTATGGCCCCAGCCCAGAGATGGTCTGCTTTCTAATTGTAGCTCTACTTCTTATTAGCTGTGCATCTTTGGGCAAGTTTTTTAATTTATAAGTATCTTAGTTTCCCTATCTGTAATCTGGGGATGATTATAATGGCTTCCTTGGAATGGATATGAGAATTAAATGAGTTCATATGTAGAACACATTTATTAAAACACTGTTTGGCACAGACTTAGGGCACCATAATTGTATACATTTATTTTACATCTCTGTGGAAGGGGGAATGGACAAGCTCTGTCAGTAATCATTTGTAGTATTAAACATTTATGATCAGAAAGGTGTTCCATATAGAAATATATACACATTTGCTGCAAGGCAAAAATGAATCTTTTCAATCTTTATTTTTTTTCATGTTATTGAAAATTAGGAAATTATCCCTCATCAAGAAAACTTATATTCAGATGCTAAATTCCTGTATAGCAGTTGTTCTCAACCAGAGAAAATATTGTCCCATAGTAACATTTGGAAATTTCTGGAGACATTTTTTGGTTGTCACAATTGGGCTGAGGATGCTAATGGAATCAAGTGTATAGAGACCAGGAATGCTTCTAAACATCTTATAATGCACAGGACAGTCCTATAGCAAAGAAATATCTAGTTTAAAATCCCAATAGTGTCAAGATAGAGAAACCTGTCATACATAAAGTTTTCTTTTACTGACTTTTCTGATGTTTGATTCTTCTCTGTGGCCCTTTTAAAATTTCTCCAGGCCCTCTTAAAACAAAATTCCCATATCCAAATAAATATGAAATAACACATCTCAATACTATTATAACTATAATGCACCAAAAATATATGGAAAAAATCCCTATATCCACCATACATGCTCCAAACAAAAACTGTTCAGTAGAAATGCCTTGACTATGCTGAATTTCACCAAAAAGGTTTCTGCTTCATAATTTCTGCACAAGGCCCAGTAAAGAGAAAAATAAAACCAGCCTTTCTTTGTATGGCAACATATACTTTATAAAACTATCTCCCCAACCACTAGGGAGGACATTAAAAATTGATAGCTATAGTTTTTTCCTATTATAACTCTGTAGCAAGAATTTTGGCAATTTTTATTAAACAGTGTTATATTCTTTTCATAACTGTACTATTTCTATTTTACGCCTACTAGCCACTGTCTATTGTGATAATAAAGCTGTTAGGTGCAAGATAAGATAAGTTTGATTTGATGTGAACTCTGCATTGCTCCCTGTCTTCTCATTGTCATCGGCAGTCCTTGGGGAGATCAAACTCAGTCTAGTCTGGGTTCCTATAATAAAGACACCAGAGGAAATTAACAACAGAGCTTTCTTAAATTTAGATTTGTTTCTGTTAAGATATCCATCAAAGTCTTTACCTATAGCTTCAGGTGGGGTAGGGATTTCAGTGGCAAGGAACTGACTTGTTGGTAACCAAAAAAGGCCATGGTATTAGAGTTGTAATATATAGCTATATGGGTTACTTTAGGGGTCTGCAAACCATGGCTGTTGGGCCCAATCAGGACATACCCATTTGTTCACATATCATCTCTGCATTAACAGATTAACCTTGCCTAAACAAAGATGTGGCCCTTCGCTTCCATTCATGGGAAGTAACTTCTCAATCTTTGGAATGTCCTGCCTGACAGGAGTATTTTTGTTTAACCTGGGCCCTGGGCTATACCACTTGATCTATGCTAACAACTGTATTTATGGTAGAGGCCTTTGGCCATGCAATATCAGCTTGACCTCTTGAAGGGCTGGACATTAAGGTCACCCAGGTTTGTTTACATGGCCAATCCCCAATAAAAACTCTGGACACCAAGGTTCAAGTGAGCTTCATTGGTTGACAGTACTTCGTGCACATTGTCACACATAATTTCTGGAATAATCAAGCATTGTGAGCATGAATCCATTAGGCGATAACACCTGGAAGCTCTCTCAATCCTTTAAGTGAAATATTAAACCTGAGGGTGGTCTTGAGGATTTCCCAAACCTACCTGTCTATGGCTATTTTCCTTATGCAAAGACAGGATTGAACAGTTGAACAATCAAATGAGTCACAAAGCCTAAAATATTTATTATTTGGCCTTTTGCAGGAAAAATTTGTCAATCAATAATAAGATTAACATCACTCCATAAATTGGTATTGAATAGGAAAGAGGAAAATGACTTTTTCAGTGATCACCATTTAAAATTAGCAGTCTTGTATGAAGGAAGTTAAAATCAATTGGAATGATTGAAAGATGACTTAATGCTCCAAAATCAATCTACTAATATTGTCTATTCTATTGCCTACTAAATAACTATGTGTTTAAAGCAATTTGAGACAAGCTGCTTGCTGGTATCATGGCAATAAAAATTCAAAGTGAACCTTTTCAGAAATCCTTCCACATGTGAGGTCTATGCTGATTAATTTAAAAAAACAGAATTAGGGATTGACTACTGACAGACATTTTTAAACCAGAGTCGATATTCTCTTGATAGAGTACTATACAGATTATCATTAGGTAGTTTTGCACCTCCATAAAATCTTTTTTACTGTGCCATTTGAAGAAAGCCTATTTTAGGCTGATGAAGCATTAGGGAGCAATCCATTTCTGTACACACTTTTGTCCAATAATAAAAAAAAGAATATGCATTTTTCTTTTCTGGGAAGGAAACGAGGAAAAATAGGTGTACACTTTGCTATAATAGCTATTATGTAAAATTCACCCGTGGCTCTGAAATCATAGGATTGTTTTGTGTCACTTCCTTTCTACCATTTCTCCTAAGAAGCATGCTTCATTTCTGACTTTTTATGCATTATTCCCATGAAATTGGTTACAGCAATTAAAAGTAACTATAATCTTTACATTATTCTACCCCTTGTTTTTGCTGGACACCAAAGTAGCAGATATTCAATTAGCAGCTAACATCTTAATCTTCTTGGTGGCTGACATTACTGAGAAATCACGCTGGCTTTGGGCAGGGTGCCAAAATTCTTGGTGACTGTCACACTATTTTAATTAATCTGCAGTTGCATTAAAATGACTAGCCGTAGTGTTTCTTCATTGGGAGCATATTACATTGTTTCACAACAACAAGGGGGTTTAAAAAAAGAGCAGAACCTTCTTAGTTTAAGCTTTTTGTTTTTGTTTGATTTTAAATATTCATGGGGACTGGGGTTATGTCTCAGCGGTAGAGCGCTCACCTTGCAAGTGCAAGGCCCTGGGTTCGATCCTCAGCACCACATAAAAATAAATAAATGAATAAAATAAAGTTATTAAAAAATTAAATATTCATATGTGACCTTATATGGGAGCAAGTAACACATTCATAGGATTAAAGGGATAATTCTGAAAAAAGGTGTTGCCACTCTGGCATTATAGTGTGAATCATTCACTTTGTACCTGGCACTGCCTAGGTACAGATGTTAGTAGGTCATCTTACCTTGATGGAGGTGCTGCAGTCAAAGCGGAATGATTTGGTCTGCCCATTTTCCAGATAGACTTTCAAAACATTTGGCATAAAAAGAAGTGAATTGTCCTTAACAGTTTCCTGTTTAATAACAGAAAAGGGGTGGGAAGGTTGCAGGTCAGTCAAATTAGGAATCTACTATGGCCAGTGGCAACACATATCTATACAGTCTATTTTAATCACAAAATAAAAAAAACCCTGATACTCATTGGAAGATACAAATAAAAAATAATCCCTTTTTAATTGAGTTTCAGTGTTAGAAAGTACAAGCAAGCCCATGTTTCTGCAGGGCAGGATGAATTGAACAGAACAAGGACCAGTAGGGATGTTGTGTGATATAATGCTGTTGGTGCCTGGCAGTGGTCATGATGATGACTCACAAGCATTAATGAGTCTGAAGTGCAAATTTGTGTGTGAAACTATATTTTACCTCATTTAGGAATGTTCCTCAAACTCAAAAGGAAAAATATAAGGAATGGGTTAGTGTGTTAGAGTCAAACATTAAGTCTATAATGAACAGATAACAATTTAGAAATACCTTGAAAAGAGATGGCACTTTGAAATACAACCAAAAGAAATGTATGCTTCCAGATGTTTTCTTTAATTTGAAGTCATGAGAGAGAGAAAAGAGGGAGGAGGAGGCATGTATGCGTGAGTTCTATGAGTCCTAGGGGTAAAATGAGTTATGAACATGTAGTTGGCTACCAAGTTCACAGGGGCTGAGGGGGATTCAGCAATCACAAACCCATAAGGCCCTTGGTTTGAAGATTGTGGGAACTACAGATAAGATTCTCAAACATTTGCCAGTATCTTACAGTCCCAGTAAATGCAACCCCTTCCTTTCACATGCCTGTTTCTTTCTCTGCCTTTCCTGTCTACTTCCATGGACTTCCCACATGACTTTTCTGTAACCCAATTTATTGAGTAAATCTGGATCCACATCCAGGTGAAATGGCACCCTGTAACCAGGAAGAGTGGGGGTAGACTAGGCATGAAGAGGTCACAAAGGCTGAGGAACAGACATGGGACTGAAGGTCCAGCATCCATAAGCCTGTGGCAAGGCAATGGAGGTTAAGAATATCTGGCCCTCAGAACTGTCTTCATCACCAGCTAACTTTTATGAGCCCTATTATGTCTGGAGATTAACTGACATTTGCTACAACAGCTTCTAGAATCATATTCCTTCTATAAATGCCCAATCTCAAGCTCAGAAACTCTGGGAAAAAGGGCGATTTCAGAGGACCTCCTGAGAGATGTACTGATTGCTTTGTTCCTTCCATCCTTCAACTGGGACAGATTGTTGTGAATAGATAATATAAGATAACCCTGTATCCAGAATGATGGGGATTCACCAAGTAAGCAGAACCGAACATGCTCACAGGGCAGCAGAAAATGCTCACAGTGCACACAGTGTCAGCCTCAGGCCCTTTTCCATAAGTGTCACAATAGTCTTGACAGATTGACCAGTTAACTCCCTGGCATCTATATAAATTGACTAGAAGACTCATAAGTGCCTTGCCCAGGATGTGCAGGCCTACATCTTCCATTTCTGATCCAGTACCAACCTCAGGGAATAGTTTGTGACCAATAACAAAATATCACAAATGAGATATTATCATTGTGAATTTATTTAAACAATGCTAACAGCAACAACAAAACTCAACAACAAAATCTGGCATTTCCAAGACACCCCCCCTCCCGCCGTCCCCAAATATTAGTACCTTGGACAAAAGATTTGTAAAAGCTACACTATGTTCTTTGGGAAAAATTGTAACTAAAATATCCTACTGATGTTTGCATGATTCATTTTGAAGATCAATGGAATGCTTGTGCAGTCATGCTTTCTATTAAGACCTATTTAACGGGGATCTGAGCAATATTTCCTCAGTTCTGGTTGCATATATAAAACCTTTCCATCGTTTTAATTTTTTTTTTGCTATTTTATAAGTTCAAAGATCATAAATTTTTGATAAGGGAAAAATAATACTTTTCTCAAAATACACAATGGTCTATTGTGTGGAACAATGCTTAGTTGGCCCAATAGGAAGAAATCAGTGAATGTCTCAAAGAGGACTCTTTTACCCAATATGAATGAGGCATGCCAGTGCACACAGATCAGATAAACTCTGGTGCAAAGCAGAGAGGTCTCTCACCCTAAATATGTTCTAGGAAACATTGAATTATCACATATTCTAGCTATGTTAAGGGGCCTGAGTTACAACCTGGTGATCTGTTAAGCTCTTCACATTCCTGAGATTCAACATGCCTGTGAAAAACAACAACTAGTTTTGATTGATCATTCTAGTCAAATTACTGGAGTTGCTTAAATGCTAAGCTCCTACCTCTGTGACCCTCTCAGTCACAAAGCAGATGACTCTAAACTCACCGACACTTGGCCGTTGATGATTACCTCCTCAGAGAATCGTACTTTGACAGGATTGGACTTTAATCTTGCCTTTTTTGCAGCACTAATAAATGCTGATTTGGGAGACTAGAAGGAAAGAAAATATTTTATCTGGTTACTGATAACATAATGTGAACCATGTAACAATTGTTTTTCATCTTCATCCTCCAAGAAATGTAATATTTTTGCTAAAATGTAGAATATTTGGTACATTCCCAACTTAAAGAAGAAATACAAATTTTGAATGTAATTGAAATCCTGTCATGCCCATAAACTAATAAGTTGGATTTAGTCACCAGACCAGAAATATGAAAAGCATGTTCCATGTTGTTACTGAGAACATTTCCAAGGAGCTTTTAAAATGACAGCAGTGAAAGTACATAAACCCTAATTCTTTTTTATTAATTTTTTTGAATTTATAAATGACAGCAGAATGCATTAAAATTCATATTACACATATAGAGCATATTTTTTCATATGTCTGGTTGTATACAAAGTATATTCACACCAATTCATGTCTTCATACATATACTTTAGATAATAATGTCCATCACATTCCACCATCATTTCTAACCCCATGCTGGAGGCATCACTATACCAGATCTTAAACTATACTACAGAACGATAGTAACAAAAACAGCATGGTATTGGCACCAAAACAGACCAGTAGACCAATGGTACAGAATAGAGGACACAGAGACTAACCCACAAAATTACAGTTATCTTATATTAGACAAAGGTGTCAAAAACATGCATTGGAGGAAAGACAGCCTCTTCAACATGGTGCTGGGAAAACTGGAAATCCATATGCAACAAAATGAAATTAAACCCCTATCTCTCACCATGTATAAAACTCAAACTAAAAATGGATCAAGGACCTAGGAATAAAACCAGAGACACTGTATCTAATAGAAAAAAAAGTAGGCCCTAATCTCCATCAAGTGGGATTAGGCCCAAACGTCCTTAATAAGACTCCTATAGTGCAAGAATTAAAATCAAGAATCAATAAACGGGATGGGTTCAAACTAAAAAGTTTCTTCTCAGCAAAATAAACAATCAGTGAGGTGAATAGAGAGGCTACAGCTTAGGAGCAAATTTTTACCACACACACATCAGATAGAGCACTAATCTCTAGGATATATAAAGCATTCAAAAAGCTAAGCACCAAAAAAGCAAATAACCCAATCATTATATGGACCAAGGACCTGAACAGACACATCCCAGAAGAGGATATACAATCAATTAACAAATATATGAAAAATGTTCATCATCTCTAGCAATTAGAGAAATGCAAATCAAAACTACTCTAAGATTTCGTCTCACGCCAGTCAGAGTGGCAGCTATTATGAAGACAAACAACAATAAGTGTTGGTGAGGATGTGGGGAAAAAGGTACATTCATATACTGTTGGTGGGACTGCAAATTGGTACAGCCAATATGGAAAGCAGTATGGAGATTTCTTGGAAAATTGGGAATGGAACCACCATTTGACCCAGCTCTCCCTCTCCTTGGTCTATATCCAAAGGTCTTAAAAACAGCATATTACAGGGACATAGCCATATCAATGTTTATAGCAGCACAATTCACAATAATTAAACTGTGGGACCAACTTAGATGCCCTTCAATAAATGAATGGATAAAAAATGTGGCATGTATACACAATGGAATATTACTAAGCAATTAAAGAGAACAAAATCATGGTATTTGCAGGTAGATGGATGGAATTAGAGAAGATATTGCTAAGTGAATTTAGACAATCCCCCCCAAAAAATGCCAAATGTTTTCTCTGATATAAGGAGGCTGATTCATAGTGGGGGTAGGGAAGGGGGGCATAGGAGGAATAGACATAGACCCTACTTCTAATATAGAGCCTTGAGCACAATGTGGAAGATGAGGTGGTGGTCAAATCTAATATTGGGTTTTTAATGACTTGCTCATTAATCATCTATTTTAATGAGGTGGAGAAGAACCACTCAAAGTTCAATATTCCCATTGTTATTCATATTTAGAATATATGGGCATGTGAGCAACCAAGTTACACACTCACACACATACAGACACACACAAGCACTCATGATGCTTTATGTATCTGCACACTGAGTTTCAGCCTCTTTTTGGTAACCCGTGATCTATGATACTATTGGGCAGGGTATGAAGGAGCCTTTAACTTAGAATTGAAAATTGAATTAAAATTTTGCCTTATAGGTCCTCCAAACTTTATGATTCTTTCTCTTCTTTTACTGGAAAGAGCGGCTGAGTGACACAGTTCTCTCTCAGAAATTGCCAGTGGAGTGGAAGAACGTACTTAGAAGGGTGCTGGGACTGGGGGATTCTTTGCTGTATGATTTTGATAAAGTTGCTTAATTTGAGAATCATTCTTATCATATAATTTTAATGACACCTAAATGGAAGGGAATTCACCTCTAATAGTTGTCTACTATGTTACCAGCATCATTTGTCTATTTTTAAAAAGAGTTACTTTCTTTTACAGAACCTAATAAAGAGGTAAATATTCAGCTATGAATCATATAAACTAAAATGGTCAAATATTGGCAACTGCCTAGGGTTCAGACTAGTGTTTTTCATGCTATATAATTCTAAGACATCAAGACTGTTGCATAATGAATTCTATTAATTGACTCTAGAATCAACACAGAGGTTGAATCTTCTGTGTATTTTATTAATCTCAAGGCACAAATACCTGTTAGGGTGACCCATACTTTGGATTTCATGTAAAATGAAAAAAAATTCATATTCTTGTCCAATACAAGTAGTATACAATCAATTAAATTAAAACCAAACATGATAATATGGATAAAATGTAGTATGTCCATGCAATGAAATATTGTTCAGTCATAAAAAGGAATAATATACTGACACATGATATAACATGGATGAGCCTTGGAAATGTGATTATGAGTGAAAGAAGTCACTCATAAAAGACTGTATATTATATAGTTCCATTTATGTAAAATATTCAGAATAAGAAAATTCCATAGAAACAAAGTAGATTAGTAGTTGCCAGGAGCAGGGAGAGGAGAGACTGGGAATGATCACTTTAATGGATACCAGGTTTCCTTTAGGGGTAGTGAAAAAGTTATGGAACCATTATTGAATGGCAATGTTGTACAATGTTATGAATATACTTAATGTCATTGAATAGCACACTTTAAAATGGCCAAGTTTATGTTATACATATTTCACTATAATAAAAAGACAGCCACTGATGAAAAAACATGATAAAATGTGTATGTGGTGTGTGTGTGTGTGTGTGTGTGTGTGTGTGTATTTCTGTGTGCAGTTTTTGCCTTAATACTAAGAGAATCCTAATATTTGTAAAGATATCATCTACACCTATACAACTCCCAACATTTGCTATGACTACTGTCTTAAAAGACTGGATGAATGGACGGTTTAGTTCTCCAGAACTTCAACTGATCCACCTATGAAAGACATTTTAAGAGAATGGCTGCTCTCTTAAAAAAACAAAATCAAAATAATGGTGGTACAAACCTGTAATCCCAGCTATTCAGGAGGCTAAGAAAGGAGGATCATAAGTTCAAGTCCAACCTTGGTAACTTAGTGAGACCCTATCTCAAAATAAAATTCAAAAATTTCTGGGTATGTAACCCAGTGGTATAGCACTCCTGGGTTTAATTCCCACTATTACAATAAACAAATAAACAAAACAAAAACAAAAACAAAAACAACCCAAAATTAACCCCCCCCCAAACCAAAAGAACTCTGAATGGGTGTTCCCTCAAAAGAACCCATCTTTAAACATGCTCAAGTTTTAGAAGTCCTACTACAGAGCTTAAGTGATATGACAGTGGTGTTTTCATCAGTATCTGTATAATTATAGGCCAAGTTTAGTGATGATTAACGAGCAAATCATACAGTGGGGAGTTCATTTGCTTTTGATATGCCATTTTTTAGCTGAAGGGAAAACATTATTCTCCCTTAATGATTTTAAGCAGGCAGTATTTACTTTGGCACAACAAGTGAAGCGCCTGTAATAAAGCTACCCAGAACAGACACTACTAATTAGATGAGATGTTTCAATGCAGTAATACCTACTTTTCCAGCATTGTTTGGGGATGAAATATTTCACATGTGTTCAAGGTTTTAGACACTGAACTTTACTCCTCTGTGTATTCTGTTTTTTAAAAATATTTTACCATATTTTCTATAATGTTCTACAGAATTCTTTGTGTCAATAAAAAAGTATATTTTCTGGGTATGGTGGAACACACCTGTAATCCCAACAGCTTAGGAGGATGAGGCAGGAGGATCGCTGGTTCAAAGCCAGCCTCAGCAATTTAGTGGGACTATAAGGAGTCTTGAAATAGAAAATAAAAAGGGTTAGGCAAGTGGCTCAGTGATTAAGCACCCCTAGGTTCAATCCTGATTTTAAAAAATATGTATATTTAATGGAACTTAGTTTTTGGATGAAATAATTTCATATAATCTTAGAATGCAGTGATGTTCCCAGGGGTCATGGAAGTATATAGGGTTATTTCTTCACAGAGTAAATGACTCCAGTAAATGACTCAAGTAGAACTTGCTAAGCTGGGGATTCTCTGTCTTCTCTGTAGGTATAACGTGCCATCTCTGGTAGCCTCATTACTGTATTTATTTACTATGCCCTACTGACAAACATGGTAATCTATGAAGAACAGAAAAGACACTACTAGATGGCCAAGGCTGTTAAATAAATATTAGTTTATATATAATTTGAAATTAACTGAGCTTTGATAAAAGTCTAAGAGTTCACAAGTTCATTTTTCTTGTTCTAGACTCATGACTGTTTCATATACTCAATTTACATTTAAAAATTACTTTTTGAAAATAAAAACATAAACTCTCCAAGTCTGAAGGCTACTTAATGAGAATCAACAAAGTAATGGCTTACTTTACTGGCCAGAGATACTGATGGATGGTGTAGTGTAAACTACAGTTTTAACTCAAATTTTCTTTGTTACCCCCCCCAAAAAAATGCACAAGGTACACCACTCAAAAACCTGGTGAATTAATTCTTTGCAATTTATAGGTGCTTATTATAAGAATTTCTTATCCTGTGGTGGAAATGATGATGATTTTCATTTAGAATAATCATTCTTCTGCTGTTAATTGTAAGATTAGTAGGCCATTAATTAAATCTTGTACCCTTTTCCAAGTTTGCTTTAGCTAAGATGATCATAATAGAGGGTGGTAATTGCTCCTGATGTTGTCAGATACTCTTAGAAGTAACTAGAATATAGTTTGAAAAATTACATAAATAAGATTGATTCCTGAAACTGAAGTGTAAGTTCTTGAACTTGTAGTCCTGTAGCTCTATGATACTTATACAACAGACATTGAGTGAAACATTTGGTAAGGATAACCCTACAGTTATCAATGGGTAACTTAGTTTTGAGTCCCCACAAAAAAAACTTTAAGACAAGGACTACCAAGCAGGTAGGTAATTTGGGAAGTGCTCAATGGTAGAGTACCTCAATGGTAGAGCTCGAGGCCCTGGATTTAATCCATAGCACCAAACACACACACACACACACACACACACACACACACACACACACACACACACACACACCCCATCCTGGGAAAATACTACTAAATACAGACAGAGATTTATACACAACAATTTAATCTGCAGAATTATTTATAATAGTAAAACATTAAAGACAGTATGAAGGGCCCAATGATAGGGGCTTAGTTGAGTTAACAGTTCAAGGTAACATTTTGCAGCCAGTTAAAAGAATCTTATAAAGAATTGCTGATGACATGCAAAAATGCTTATGAAATACTAAGTAAAAGAAGCAAGATACAATTGAGCATCTAATATGATATTGGCTGCCAATAAGGCATAGAAAAAAGAGACTGGAAGGAGATAGTTTGAAATGTTTACACTTGGTTGCCCCTGAGAAAAAGTTTTACTGATTTTTAATTTTTAAAAATTTTTCTGCTTCAGAATTTTCTTCTGTATTTCTACATTTATTTCCTGGGAAGAACAGTAAAAATGTAGGGTGAAAGAGTCATTCATAATACTTTTAAAAAAATTATCAAGAAATTTAATGGATCCTTAGACTTTTGCCAGGTCCCCTTGACCTGGGCCTTCCTGGAGATAGATTTCTGTGGCTGGATAAATATTGGTTCTCTTGTCTTTACTGGACCTTATAATTGAGAAGAAATGCAAGTAACATAAGAAGTGCTAGTGTGCAAGTTGCAAAATAAATTAAAATGTTAATTTTTATTGTCTATAATAAAAGTAGATTTTATGAATTATCTCTTGGTCTGCTTTGTCATCTGTTTCTGTATGTCAATCCTGGTTGCCAAAAGGATACTTAGCAAATAAAAGAAACCCAATATTTTAAAGAAACAATTTGCTGGTAGGAAAATCCAAACACAAACATACAAATAAAAAAATTGCAGTCTTTTCTCCCATTTTTCCTCTTGTCCATATCTAATGTGTCTATTGAAATAATTTCAGAGTATGAATTCCCACAATTCAGAGAAGAGAAAGGTCATATATGACTAGAATAAGACAAGACTTTAGGAGGAACAGTGGTTCTTAACTGGGGGCAATTCTCTTTTCATGGAACTTTTGGCAATGTCTCAAGGCATGTTTGGTTGTCAGAACTGGGGAAAAGGGTGCTGTTAGCATCTGATGCGTAGAGGTCAAGGATGCTGCTAAATATTGTACATGACAGTCCCACAATAGAGAATTTCCAGTATGACCTACTACAAAAATAATTTGGTTTAGAATAAAAATGGTTCTGTTCTTGTATTTCTAATAGATTATAAATTAGGGACAAAGAATTCCAGAAAACAATATAAACTTGAAGTTCCAGCAGTGATTTATAATCACTTGCTTACTACTTACAATAGACATTTACATTGGCTTTACCAAAATGTATTTTCCTGCAACCAACAAATTACAAAGTATGGATAGATTTGAAGTAGGTGACAATGACGATTTGGTTAAATAAAACAATCTGAAAACAGCCCATCTGTACTTTATATTAAAGCATACAGTAGAAATCACAGAATCATGAGATGGTAGCAAAAGGGAGCCCTTGGAAATAATATGATCTCAACCAATCCTCATATAGATAAGGGACTGAAAGTTCTGGACAGCTATGAAAATCACTAGACAATAAGTTATGCCATCCAGGACATTTATAAAAAAAACCTCTTAGTTCCATCTCTTTGACTGAATTTAAACACGTGCATTTGAACTTGAGGCTGCTGGATCTGAAAGAACCAAAATTTGAGATCTAGTACCAGTAATATTATATTATAATTTATTGTCTGGGTTAGTTCTGTTTGTGGTCTTATCAGAATTCTGAATACATTTTTTTCCTACCTAAAATGCCTAGACTGGACTGGGGATGTGGCTCAAGCAGTAGTGCGCTCGCCTGGCATGTGCGGGGCGCTGGGTTCGATCCTCAGCACCACATACAAATAAAATAAAGATGTGATGTCCACCGAAAACTGAAAAATAAATATTAAAAAATTCTTCCCCCACTCTCTCTCTTTAAAAAAAATGTCTAGCCCACTGCTTTTAGGAAAATTTTGGGATGGGAGAGAAGAAGTGCTCCAATTCTATGGTGAAGGAAGTAGAAGCCTAAGCAGGTTGGAATCTTTGCCCCTCCATGTAAAGGGCAAACAAACGTACTGATTGATGATAATCATTTGGGGAGAAATCTGAAAGAATTTGCCTTAGTATTTTTTTTGTTTAACTGACAATTATGAAATTCACAAGTAACAGCAAGTCTATAGAAATAGAAAGTAAATTAGTGGTTGCCTGGAACTGAGCGTGGGAACTGGGATTAATTGTAAGTGGGAACAGGGATCTTATTGGGTTGATGAAAACTTCCTGAAACCAGACTGTGGTGATGGTTGCATACTTTAGTAAATTTTGTAAAATCTATTGAATTATACTCTTAAAATGGTTGAATCCTATGGTAAGCAAATTATACCATGATCATTGTTTTTTAAAATCATGGGAACTAAATTCAGTATGATTTTAATCTCTTTCCATCCTCAGAACTAAGCTGAAATCGAATTCAGACAAATCATATTTCCTCGAGGACCACCTTTAAAGCAGGCAAAATATCCAGTTATTTACCAAATTATTTAGATGTAGATAAGAATAAAACTTGTTCTTCAACTTCCTACAATTAGATATTCCCATAAGACTTGTGATTCTTAAGCTGGAAACCACAGTCTTGAGTTTGGTGTTATTTCTAGATGCGAAAATTTCATAGGGCTGAATAGCTGATTGTCTTTCAAGATATTTAGGAAACACATAACTTTCTTTCCTCTCCGATAGATGGCTTTGCTAATGCGGAGTACAAAGTACAAATACTCAAGAATTCCAATCCTGCACTGTGAATGCATGTTATTTTTCTCTGCTGTTACTCATTGTCATGACTTCTGTAAAGTGGGTGGGGAGACTAGAATCCCGAGATCATTCAGTGGCACTTTTACTCACAGAACACTTACAGGGTAAGGCTGAATGACAGTGAGGAGTATTGATTCTTTGCAGCTTCTGTAAGAGAGAGAAACAAACATATTTACAAAATGCACAGAGCCTGGACTCAAACAGTGACAGTTTTCTTTGTAAATGAAATGTGTGATGTGTTGGCCAATGTTTCTTAGGCTCTCAGGGCAGAGTAAATCAAACAGCTCAGAAGAGGGCTTTCAGACCAGAGAGAAAACCAAAATCAAGTGTTTGCCGAGTATAACAAACTGTCCAATTGAAAGCTTCCTAGGCGGATTACATTGGGCAATATTATCTGTGCTGCCGAACAGCAGGACCCTAAAATAAGACTTGGCGAGGGAAGAACGGTTTTAGAAGCATCAACTCAATCAGTCTCTACGCTTTTTGCTGCTCTCAGAATTGATTCTCCCCTTCTGATTTTCCTTTAGCCTGCTTTTCTTTGCCGCTTAAACTTTTCTATACTTTTCTGCAAGGGGAAGGGATTTTAAAAATTCTGTCAACTTGTGGAACATAATTATCTTCTCAGGGTCAGCATTATGAAAGATAAATGTCATTGGAGGTTGCTTATGTAAAAACAGCATCCCAGCAAACATCCTTCCCCACACCGTTCAGCTCTGTACATCCAGTGCCAAGGACCCTGAGCTGATAAGTATTTCAGACAAGCACCAATTGGGAAATATTGCTCACAACAGGGAACCCTTCATAGTAAAGCAGAATAATGTCATATAATGGTTTATTTAATTTCCTCCAAGTAACCCAAACCTTCCAAATGACTCAAACCCTGGAGAAAAATCACATTATGGGTTGTAATATTTTTCTTCCTTCCTTTCTTTGTTCTTTTGTATCATAAGTAAGAGAAAGGTCAGTTGCCATTTTGTTGAAGAGGAGCTGACTTTTTCTACTTTAGGTTGTAATTAATTGCCTGCTTTTGTGATTTATTGCCTGAATGATAAAGGCAAAGGGATCTGTTGTAATTCTGTTCTCTTGAGAAAAGTCACTGCAGATCATACCTCCCTCACTAACTGATTTGTGGCTTCACCTACTCATCCTGGCTATTTGGACCATGAACTACTGATTTGTCAAAGGTGATGTGAATCTTGAGGTAGAGAGTGAGGTACAGGAGGAGAGGGATGAGTAGGGCAGGAAAAGAACTAGAACTATAAATCCAGAAAGAACCAGGACACGTAGGCTGATAGGGATACTGCAGCAGGTAGATAGCATACTGTTGACAGTGGCCCAGCTTCTCTCACAAGTTCTTAGTTTTCAAGGCTGACAGAGAGCCCAATAACTGCAATAGAGAGAGCAACAGTATAATCAAATGTAGTTTCAGTGGGTAAGATAAGGATCGTGCCCTGCTGGTGGGCACATGTGTAGATACATGGAGCAGTTTGAGGAGCAATCTGGCATCACCAGGGCAATATCAGTGTCAAAACACTGTTATCCAGCCAGTCTACACTAGCTTTACTTCACAAAGAAATTCTTCCACTATGCTTTAAGGGGATATGGATATTCCCTGCAATAGAATGTGTTGGGGTGAGGGGTTGAAGGGAAGTTGGGTGTCCATCTCTGGGTCAGCAGATAGGAGACAAATATGCAGAAAGCAACATAAACAGAAGCAAAGTAATGTTCCCTAGTTTCCACACTTCACAGGAAATAATAAACATTGAGGAAATAAGAAATGTGACACAGCCCCACAGTATAAAGAATCTGTGAGTATGGCAGCCACTTCAATGAACTTGTCTGCCCTGCCTGGCCTGTTCTGTCCAAATTTGCTCTCACAGCCCTCAGTAGCAGTCCTGGGAACTCAGCCTCTGGGACCAGCTGATGGGACTGAGTTTAAAAATGAGCTAATCAAATTTCCTCTCTCCAGAATTACTATTAAGAGACACAGAGACTAAGAGAGTTGGGAGCCAAGACACATTTGTGGCAGAGCATCTGAGTAAAGGATGCAGATGCCAGTAGTCCTTGGAACAGTTCTAATTCCCCCCCCATTCCTGAGGGCTGGTTGTTCACTGTTCCATTAGAAATAAAATAATTGATGTAAACTTTCTCAGTATGATATCTATCATCATTCTGGGAACGAGCTTTTACTTCTGTTTTCTCTCATCGGTAAGTACTTAATCATCACCTGCCAGACAAGAAGAATTAATTCCATAGTGCTTCAGATCCCTTAGGATTCCTAACTCAATCCTAGGAAGAAAAAAAAAAGATCAAAGCCATATGTGTTTATATGTTAAAGGATGCCAAAATGGATTTAGACAGATTCAGCTGAGGTCTCATGCTGATAGATGCCAATCATCTCCACATGATAAAGAAAGGTGCTGGATGATGTTCCAAGGGGGTTTTGAAAAGGAGAATTTGTAATCCTTAACCCCTTATTCACCTTCAGCCTGATTCATGACTTAATTTAAAATTGAGAAAAGGAAACAGGGAGAAACTGGCAGAAGCAGCATATGCCTGAAGAGTAGAGGCTACATGTGTGAAATCACTATCCTTCCACTCAGCCAGGCACAAAGTGTGATTCCTGGGGTAAGATGTGCAAGAAATGTTACCCTGGGATCATTTCACAAAGGCCTCCTGATCAACTAAACTTCTTCCAGGAGTGAAAGGGCATTAGCCAAAAGATGGCTAAGCTGAGGAATACTGGGCATAACCAGGCCTTGGGTTCTATCTGACTTGATGGGGCTGCAACTGGAGCAACTCAGCAGAGAAATCTTCTGGAAATATACACACACACCTACAAGAGGAAGAATCAACCATCATTATGTTGCATGGATAGAGGAAACCAATGCTAGATTATATTGATTTCAATCAAGTGAAAACTTTATTGAGAGAAAACTCTCACCACCCTGGCCCCATTTCAATCTGGAAGAGCTAAGGCTAGAGAAGAATGTTGGAAACTAGAGAAAGCATTGACAATGCCCCTTAACCCACTGCAAACCTGAAGGAAAACCTGGGGCAAGGGACAAATTTGTGGAGTTGGGAGTTTAACTATTCCACCACAATTGAACATTTTAATTAGATTATAAATTATTGTAATCACAAGGATACAAGTGACTGAAGAATTTTTCTGAGCATGCTGAATACATTTCTGGGATCAACCTGAGATTTTGTTAAGGGTTACAAATGACCATAGGGAGCTATTATAAATGATTAATGGGGGTAGGGGAAGCACAGTTTCCTTCTGATTGTGCCCTCTGCAGTATGCTGGCTACCTTATTCTGATCTCTCTTTACTTATATAGACTTGAATAGATCATATTCTTTGAGTTCAAATAGTCCTTGACCAAAAGTCTTTGATCCTAGGAAGAAATAATAAAAAGGTTAAACACAAGAATGATGAATAAGGCTCAGAATAAATCAGAATAAATAAATGGAGTCGGCAAGAGAATGAATGAGCCCATAAAACAGAGGGACAAGTGTAATTTTCTATCAAATGATGCTCAGTGGCAACATATTTGTTTACTTTTGGAAAAGGAAGCTGATATTCACAGTTATTGTGCAGTAGCCGTTAGGAGCAGATGAGCCCCTGGAGAAGGACTATTGCTACTCATCATAGGTGCTGGTAATCATAGATCCTGTATTAGCTTCCCATTAGTGCTATAACAAATTACTATAAACTTTGTAGCTTAAAACCATACAAATTTACTACCTTTCATTTCTGGAGGTCAGAAATGTAAGATAGTAAATTGGGTTTTGCTGAGCTAAAATCAAGTTGCTAGCAGGGCTGTATTCATTCTGGAGCCCTTTTCAACTTCTAGTGATTGCCTGTGTTCCTTGGAGAATGGCCCCTCCCTAACCATCAGTACAGCATCTTCAAACCTCTCCCTGACTCTTTTTTACTGACAAAGATCCTTGTGATTAATTAGTCCTCCCTGGAATCTAAGATAACCACCCCATCATTAACTTCACTACATCTACAAAGTCAGAGACTCTAGAAATTGAGAACATCTTTGGGGGGTCATTATTCTCCTGCCACAGACGTGAGCTTTATTAGTTATTGAGTGCTGCATAACAAATTATCACAAACTTAGAGGCTTAAAGCAACACCAATTTATTATCTACATTTGATGTGGGTTAGAAATATAAGCATGGATTAGCTTAGTCACCCTTTTCAAGTTCTCTCATGAGGCTTCAATCAAAATGTTGGCCAAGGCTGGGGCCTCATTTGAGAGTTTGATTGGGAAGGATCTACTTCCAAGTTCACTTCCATAATTTTTGGTAGAATTAAATTCCTCTTTAGGCTTTTGGACTGAGGATCTTAGTTCCTTTTAGGCTTTTGGACTGAGGATCTTCAGTAGTCGGCTTAGGTCCACCCTCAGTTCCTTGCCATGTGGGTCTTTTAACACTGCCACTTAGCTTCATTAAAGCTGGCAAAAGGGAGAGTCTTCAGGCATGGTGGAAGTTAAAATCCTATGTAATATAATCAGGGAAGTGATGTGCCATCACCCATGCTATATTCTATTGATTAGAAGCAAATTATAGGCCACAGCAATATTAAAAGAGATAGACCACCCCAAGCTATGAATAAAAGGTAGCAGGGATTTGGGGGTCTATCTTCTATTCTGTCTGCTATACTGGTAAAGAGGGACTTGTAACCAAGTTACCTATAAGCACCTCAAAAGTCATGTCTCCCTATGACTTCATCCTACACAGAATTTTTTCTTCTGCCAACAATTTCAAGAAGCAGCTCAGCATACCTTGTTAGCAGGAAATGGGAAATATTTTTCAAAATATGCCTATTGTATTTAGTCTTTGTGTCTATGGTAATGGTTTGTCAATTGATTGAAACATAACAGATTGATTTCTAATTTTATGATTTATATATTGAAGTCATCTGAATTTAAATAAAATATTTAAAAATGGTATTTATCATTAGAACTAGAGACATGCTTTTCTGTTTTCTCTCATCTACAGTTATTTAATTTTAACCTGCCAAACAAGAAAGTTTAACTCCATAATCTTTTGGATCTTTTAGAATTCATAACCCTAACTTCCTGGGAGGAAAAAATAGATCTAAGCCATTTTAAAATAGCCTCAACAGAAAGA